AGCAGGAATCCGAAAGTTATGTTGAAATTAACATGAATAAACTGAATAATTTCCAACAGGGGTCTTTAAGTGTAAGTAAGAAAGATGCATGGAAATAAACTATTTCATACAAATTGCTTGCAAAACTTACAAAATTCTGGTGACCATGTTCACTTTTGCAATTTTTTATACTAAAGGATGTTCAAAAAGGCGAACTAGAAAGCCAGAAAACATAATCAGAAACTGATTCTAAGCTTCTAGGCATCTCAATTTGAACATCTGCAGTTTCAAAGAACCAGATCATAACCTCTGCAGAGGCAAAGCAATACTGCTTTGTTTAGAGTGGAAATTCTAGCACAGAGGTCCAGTTTCTGAGAGTAAACCAGTTCTTTCCAAGAGAGACTAACCATTTTAAAAGCAAGGGAGACGGAAATGTCCTTGGAAATCATGTGTGGCCAGTTATCGCGTGACGCACTCTTCTATGTCTTTCAGAGCATTTAGGGGTGGTATTCCATACTCTCTGTTGTCAAGTTGCACAAAGAGCTTATTTTTCATTAACAGGATTATAAAGAAGCTTACTCAAAGGAGAAATGGGATTTTTAGTGGTTTCAAGATGCTCATTGTAAAGCATTTCCTCACCCACCTGTCGTAAATTTGCACAATGTTTTTACCACAGATTTCATACAGAACTTGAATTTTCTTGTTGGTTTTTTTTCCCTTCAATAAAGTAATGTATACACACTAAATTACTCTAATTAGTTTGTTTGTTTCTTAAATGTGAGCTGTAAAACCAATTCACTCTATGCCTAAAAAACTTTCCTGAAAGGATGCTTACATAAATACGACCAAAAAAAAAAAAAAAAAAAAATCCATTTGTATCTGTTTCTTCCAGCCATGCCGCTTTATATTTCCTTTGTTTGGTATTGAAAGCCAACCTTCAAGTCTTGATTCTGGTTTTAGAAAAATGCATATTAAGTAATTTTATGTATTTATAATAACAAAGCAGAATAGCACAAAAGCAAACTATTTCTACAAAGGAAGATGTACTACATGCAGTAATAGGCAATTACCTATTCAGCAAAGCAGAATAAAAAGCACAGCTAAATAAAATGAAGATATAAGCATTTACTTCATGCTTCATCCAAGCTAACACTTGATTATACAGTTACTGCAAAATAAAGTGAAGCTGTTTTCCTTGATGCCAACATCTAACACTGTATGTAAATAAATTGCAAAGAGCCAGGCAGGAAATACTTTGCTTTGAACATGTGTTACAGCTTAAACAGAAGACGATTAAGAGATTTTCAATGTAAACATAATTTAACATTCAGAGGGGCTATATGAAAACAGCAGGAAGATGCAGCAAGTAAAACAAACCAGATCCTAATTTTCCAAGGGAAACAAAAAAAGGAGAGCGCACAAGAGCAAGCAAAGCTATACAGGTGTCCCATTACTCACAGAAAGTAAGCATAGGAGATTAATAAATAAGGAATGCAGGAAGAATCAACTAGATATAAAGAACAAGAAACAAGTGTTTTATTCAAATTTTCAGTGGACAATTGTCCAAAAAGTAATATAATAATGTATTTTCCTTCCATGTAACTACTGAAATAATTTAACACTGATACAAAGAAGCGTCACAAGAAAATTAGCATTCTGCTTAATGTGACTCACAGATTTTAAAAACCCCTCCAGCTAACTGATACTAGTTTTTGATAGATATTTTTAAAATTATGAAACCAGGTAATAGCAGTGAGAAGCTATCATGATTCCACTAATCCAAAATGACACAGAAGAAAGTCTCACAATTTCATAAATGCAAGAATGAAGTAATCAAAATTTCACTCCAAAATTAGGAATTTATATACCAATTGAGAAAAACTTTATAGATTTTTTTAAAAAAAAATGATTGTAAAAATGTGATTTGTAAGAACTGTGTCAAAGTACAGAAGTATAGCTGATAACTAATGTATGCATTCTTTATAATAAAATGAACTGGCAGCACTGAAAACTTAAAATCCATTAAGATAAAATTTTCTGAAACATTTTCCACAAATATTTATGTAAGAAGGAGCTATTGGTCCCTTTTATCCTTCAGGGATAACTATGTGAGGTGTAGCCCCAGCAAGCTGTGAAAATAAATCCAAATATATAAAAGTTATTGTCCATACACTTTGTTACGGAAAATTACAATGAGACTGACAGTCTAGCCTTCTACAAGGCATTAAAATCAGGCATAGAAAACCCCTTCCTGCATTAGCCTTACAGCAAACAATATTTAAAAGTGGACAACATTTACAAATATAGAATAATTTCCTAACATTTCTCCACACAGAATAACTTCAAAATACTGGGGGGACCACTATTGAACTACTGAAATTCTAACTGGAAGAAAGGCATGTTAGCAGAACTCATTCCAGTAGTAAACCTTCCTGGAAAAATGAAGGAAATGTGTATTTCCCTGCCTCTCACATCTGAATAAGAATTGTGGGGGGTGGGGACTGACCCCCCAGATGCCTCCCCAGTTCTTGATATTCAGTAGCTTTGGAAAAGGAAACTTATTTCCTTCATGTTTGCAGGCATCACAGATAATGCTTACCCTATTTTGAATACTTCAGTTAATTTTCACATCAAAAGAACATTCTTCCATTTTCAGAAGTTTTAGAAATATCCTAAAAGTCAAGTCCTCCATTGCAAACTGAAGTGATTAACTGCTAAAAGAGAACATAGTATGGACGACTGCAATTCAAAAGGAATAAGTACGCATCTGTGGAATCTGTGGCACACGAAAATCTGGAAAGATCCAATAATAATTTTTTAAAGATGCACAAGGTACTATGCTGCTTATAGGGACAACGCGACTAGGAGTTTTTCTAAGTTCACTTCTATTTCAGCACATTCTGAAAGAAATTTCAAAGCAAGTAGAAAGTGGATGAGCTATTACAAATGAATTGGTTGACATTCTTTTCTGTCTACTACAAATCTATTTTAGTGAGCAAATCCTATTTGCACGAGAGATAATTTCCGAGCTGTGAATAACATCCTGCAGTTGAAAATAACAGTTTCTGGATGTACTTCTCAACAAAGCTTGCATTCGTCTGGAACCAAATGTACTCTTGAAAGGGTAGATGAGCCCTTTCATTCCAACCTTGCCACAAAGGTTTGTCTCAAGTAATATTCACAGTGCATTTTAATTCCCCTTGACAGAGTTAGCTAGCACAACTGCAAATGCTCCTCTGGCCATTTCACAAATATTTAATCCAGAAGAAGAATATTTATGAGTGTTCTGATTAAGTAATTAAGAAAATACGGGCTATCTAGACTATGAAAAAGAATCTTCCATGATTAAGTAATTAAGAAAATATGGGCTATCTAGACTATGAAAAAGAATCTTCCATTCCTGTCTTTAAAAACAGGCTCAAAACTATTGCCTGACAACTTCCCTGTATTTTGGAAAGAATCCCGGAATTGATGCTTCATATTTCCAATTCAGAAAATCCAAGATAGGCTTCAAAAATATCTGATGACTAGCTGGACCTGACCAGAATATGAAGAAAGAATTCCATGAAGGCTACACATCTGAATATATATTACAATGTGGATTTGCATTCCAAACATCTTCATGATTAGTATTCATATTGCCAGGATTTGCTGCGATTCAGTATGATAAATGTGAGTTCTAACAGAAAGTCTTCAACAAAATCACACAAGACAACCATGACTGTACTGATTTATGAGATTTTTTGTTGGTTTGGGGGTTTACAGGTGCCTTCATGAGCAGTAGAGCATCTCTTTGCAACGTTCAAGAATTCCTACTTCTCAGACTCTTCCACAGTAACCAAAAACCTGGAGATAGTACCTTGCTAATTCTTTTCAGTCCACCCTTCCCATTTGATTCTTTCCTTCCTAAGATTGTCTTACTACATTTTCATGTGGATCTCACCAAGGACTGCTGGCTGGATCTTGCTTTGAGGTTTATTTGGGTGACAGCTACTTGCAGGTATTTCAGAAAGTCATATCTGTGTCCCATATTAAAAAAAACAAACTGTTGGCTTAAATGGTCCACATTTATTATTCTATTCTATCTTTTTGTAAAACATGATTTATAACATACACTGTAAAGTATTATGTGCTGCAGTTAAACCTGTAGAACAGCTCAATTGCTTAAAATATCTTGCCAATCAGATTAACAGAATTAATTCACATCAGGTTAAGTGCCCTATAACAATCAGGAAAAAAACCCCTTAAGTTCCTGATTATGTTTTGTCTTGACAAAGAAGAATTCTGTTTACAATCATGTAAGTATTAAGACTTCCTAAGTTCAGCCGGGAGGAAGAGGCATTCCAAAGGCATAATAAAAAAGCAAATATTCCAGCTGTTTCAGCAAGGACTCTGTTAACGTTGGAGACATCAACTGAGACATGAGCTTCTATCTGAATCAATAATCAGGAGTAAGAGTTACAAAAAATGCCTAGAACTTGAATACAAGGAAAACCTTCCTCCAAATCATGATCCTTCCCACCTGGCGAAGCAGAGGCCTGACAATAGCCGGGATTGTCCAAACGAGCCAATCCCTGCCTTGGGAGCAGTGGGAGCTACCAGAACTTGAGGGGGTATTTAGCTCAACAACAGACAGAAACCACCTCCAAGTAAGATGCAGCTGTAAAGTGTGTTACCACGCAGTTTCTCTAGATCTATGTCTGAGCATAGAAAAATTTTTTTCTTAAATTTTTCTGAGTATTAGGAATTCATTTTAGTATTACCTTGAGTTTATTCAAAGTGTGCAAAGCCTTCTGACCCCAAAATTTTACAAGATGCTCTTCCTGCAAATTATGAATTCTGCTCTTGTAGCCTCTCTGGTGGCTGGTAACCTAAGCTGCCCGATTAGACAAGACATTGCCCCATAGCCTGAACCTCTCTGCCATGCCGGACAGCGGAAAAGGCCTGAGAGCCAGAGGTCTCTCTGGAATTCTGCCAACATTACTATCACACCGTTTCATACCAAATTTTTACTCAATTAAACCAGAGTCTACCCTTCGCCAGAACTGAGACAATGGAATCATTATTTTATACGTTTCCATTATTTTGTGTGTTCTTTTTTCCCCTGGTGATGTTTCTACTGTGACAGGAAACGGAATAAATCATACTATAATTACTTATTTAGTAATTTTACCATTTATTTGCCTTAAATGTTTTTAAGGAATGTCTTTGCCTTAAGAACAGATGCATCAGCTAGAGAGAATCCTGTTGACTACTCATCAGATCCACCTAAAACAAGATGCTGCTCAAGGTGCTCTGAAGGAATGTCTATGTTTGGGCTATAGAAGTGATGGGAACTTCGCACACAGTTGAAGACTAACAACTTCATGCAATTAAATTGTAGCAAATTAACTGCTGTGGTATGCCACTGTCTGTTTTGAAGACTAATTTCTTGGTTTGCAGAAAAATAACACTGCGCTGGGTAATTTCCTCTTTCTGTGATATGGGGTATTTCTACTTTGAAGACTGACGCGTTTTTCCTGCTTATAATGCTAGTGCACTTCTCTGCCCTCTACTTGGCTCTTTGACAAATGTGCGAAACCTGACTATACTAATGTCGCTTAATCTCTTTTAATTACCTAATTTGCTTCTTATTCAGATCCTGATCAACTCAGAGCCTCACTCAAAAAAAAAAAAAAAGCAGCACGTAGGGACATGATCTAAATCTAGAGAAGTCCTAATTATATGTATTAGAGGTCCTACCTATATGACACAGTAACATCAGCAGCACAACTGCAGTAAAAATCAGAGGCATGTGTAGAGAAAAGGGCAAAAAAGAATACAAGAGAATGAAAGACTAGTAAAAAAGAAATAGTTAGAGGGGTCATAAGTATCGAAGACTAAGAGGGAGACCACAAGAACTTGCAGTAATTGTGATGTTCTAATTAAAAACAAGAAAAGTTACAGCTGACTTGAAAAGATCTTGCACATACCAAAATTTCTGCCCTAAAAATCGAAGTGCCAGGTCATACAGCCAGAAGCCTGACTACAGGGTGGTGAAACACTGGAGCAGGTTGCCTGGAGAAGCTGTGGCTGCCCCCTCCCTGGCAGCATTCAAGGACAGGTTGGATGGGGCTTTGAGCAACCTGGTCTAGTGGAAGGTGTCCCTGCCCATGACAGGGCGGTTGGAACTAGATGGTCTGTAAGGTCCCTTCCAACCCAAACCGTTCTATGATACACACATCTCCAGAAGTAAAACTGAAAATAACATATCTTAAATGAAGCAGACAAAGAAAGAGCTTACTTCTACAGTCTTTCCGAGATCTAAGAGACAACAGGGTCATACTGACATACTATTGCCCTTCAGAAGAAAACAGGGAAGGTGCCTATGTCCACATAGAGGCATTGCTGTTTTCAGTGCAATCCACAACAGCCATTATGCTGAAAATGGTTGAGAAGGAAAGTGAGGATGTTCAAAACTACCCTTTTACGTAGCATAAATCTAGTCTGTTGTCCTGTAGAAAGAAATTAAGCTCTCAATTTAAGGGAGTTCAGAAATTCTCAATAAAAAAACTACGAACTAAATGTTCTTCATTTAGGAGACACTATTAAACATAAGGCTTGATTCCAAATAGTAATGTGAGGGGAGAATAAAACATTCTAGTGAGTAAAACCCCTCTGGTTTGTTTATTTTTTTACCCCAGTTAAATGGAATACACTGAGAATTAGTATCTAAGAGAACAACTTCTGAGAAGTACTGACAGTTCAGACATAACAGAGGGACACCCTAGCAGGTGACAGCTAAGAAAAAAAATGTTCCTGCACCAATCTAATAGTTCTAAGAATTCCCAATACTGAGTTTTGATGGAAGTTTGGCCCAGAAGATGTTTTTGAAAGAAGTAAAATAGACATTTACTTTACAAGATGGCAATTGCCTGAGGGTTTTACAGATCAAACTTCAGAGTGCAGAAGGGTTCTTGGACAGAATGGACGTTATGAAGAAAAGACTATCATTATCTGAATGAAAATCTATTCTAGAACAGAATTCATTTAAATATTAACTGAAAATGAAAATCTAAAAATATACTAAGGGAAGACAGGACACCAAAATAGACACAGAAAGGAATAACTACATAAAACCATACACTAAGTCTCATAACCTACCTGAATTTTCAGTCACTCTAAAACCCCTGGGAAAAGTCTAGAATGTGGCAATCTGAGCAGCATGAAGTGCATTATCAGCAAGAGACATCTAAAAGATTCTGGTTTTTTTATCTGATTAATCATCCACTGAGGTCTTAAATACCCCAAATAGTATTCTATTTTGTACGTTTGAATATATTTCTCTATAGTAAAAATCAGACTGTAAATCAGTAAGGCAAGCATGTAAGACAAGCATTTATTCAATTTCACGATGAATTATAAAAATTACTTAACTATACAAAAGAATAAACCTACCGCCAACATCGCAAAATTGTTGAGCACAGCTTATTACCTCTAAACGTTTTTCTCCTGTATCTAGAGATGCAGAAGTCGATCACATAAAAGTACTAACTGATTATACTTTTCAGACATTGGGGAGGGGAGAATCACTAGCCAGTATTAACAGTGGCTCTCAAAATACAGCACCTGGAACTGACACTACATGGAAACGGCTAACTACACTGTATTATTTGTTCTTATTTTAATCTGCTAAATAAGAGTACCATACAACCATAAATGCATTACGGAAATTTCTACAATTATTTTTCACATCAAGCAATTATTGCCACTTGCCACAAAGGTTCTACATGACTGTAAGAACAGACAAGGTCAAGGCAATTTTGCATTCAAGATATAAAATACAGTCATGATGTTGTGGAAGTGCTGGCCCTGTATTCTATTCTCTGGATGCCGTACATTATGTTCATTATATTCAAACAGCAGCAGATGTAAAGATACTCTTTCCACAACGTGGACGAAAATTACACTAAAGCCAAGCCATCCAGTGGGAGGAGTGACGTGAGAAGAAATTAACACTTAAGTATAAGCAGCTAAGATATGAAATAAAAACAACAAAAAAAGGAAGCAGAGATATGATACAGAAAGAGACAGCCAGAAGAGCTGTAACTTGTTTGAAACAATAATTTCCAAAACTATGTGTATGCACAAAATGAAGTATTTCAGACATGCTTTTCTCTTACCTGAAAGATTTCCATCTGTTTCATCTGACTGGAGACTAGCAACACTGGTAGAATCCATTCCTTGCTGGAGGTCCAAAATTTTCCTTCGTAGTTGTTCTATGTCACTCTCTTTACTATCCAGCTGCATCTGGAGCTCATTCCTGTATGTAGATTCTTCTGCTAGTTGCTGTAGTTATATACACATGCATAGTTACTGTGATACCAAAAATATGGCAGCAAAGTATTCTGAAAATAAAACTCATTACTATTTTAACATCTCTAGATACTTTTGATAGTATTAGCATAAATTATTATAGTAGAAGTGTTCATTCAACTGTGGAAAAAAGTTTAATATCAAAGATCTAGCAATGAATTCAAGTACAAAACAGTCTGATTAATCTATTAAATTACCCTTTGTCTTGAAAAGGAGACTACCTACCAGTGAAATACACTGCATAAATAGTATGCTACACAATATTCAGTTTTTTAGTCTTCATAATATATCAGTAACTTCCACAGTTAAGAACTCAGAAAGGGGAAATGAATGAGAACAAGCACAACTGCACACTTGTCAAGTTCTCTGCCTCACTAAAATTCTCTAGCCTAGAACATCTGAAATAGAACTTGTTATTTTTTTAAGTAGACTTGTAGCTATACTTTTTCCTGCGGAGAGAATTCCACAATGTAACAAAAAAATTAAGATTATTTTACCGCTTGCATTTCATTGACCTCCTTTTGGTATTTCACTACCATTTGATTGAATTTCTCTTTTTCTTGATTAAGTTCTAATTGGAGCTTTCGGTTTTCCTTCTCTTTCTTCCTCAAATCTTGCATGTTAGCTTTCTTTCTGTCTATTTTAAAATCTTTCCGATTCATTATCTCAGCAAGTTTGTTGACAGCCTGTTAAGAAAGAGAAAAATGAAAACCAGTAAGAAAAATGATATATGCAAGCACGTTTCATACAAAACTTCAAAGTTCCTCTAGTCTTAGAATTCAATCCAACATAAATGGTCCTTACGTTAGAAGTAATACTGAAAAGTACACAGCATCAAAACTTTCAACTGTAAATATCAACAACGCATACTATACATGATGGTTAATATAAACTTAATCCCCAAGGAACTAAGACTTAGTTGCACAAAAAACAATAAACTGAAAATATATCTGATATACAAAGTAATTAATATTGTTAAATTGCATAAGAAGTTATACCTGTGTCTTCAGAGTTCTTTCAGTGTTGATGCTCTTCTCATAATGCATTCTAATATTATTGATTTCCTCCTCTTTTTTCATTCTGTATTCTATAAAAGTAATATTCAAATCTGAGACATTTTAGGACAAGGTAAATATTTCTAAGCTTAATCACTTCTACAATTGCACTAAATTTTTTTTCCTTCATTTTCCTGTTGTGTCACAATGTGCAAAATACAGTTTGCAATGATGAAAATTACCAGTTTAATGCTACTGTCACAATAGAAAATTATCAGAAGGCTATCTCAGAAATGCACCAAGATGAACTACTAAAGCCAACATATGTATTTTTGTCTCCTGGTGACGACCAAGTTTGTTGCCCCACTTCCTTCATGTTCGCACTACCAAAAGCGGTTCTGCAGTACCAAAAAGCATTAAGTCAGTACCCATACGGAATAAGACTGATACGACTGGACTCACATTCAGTACAGATTCTTAAATCAGGCATAAAGAAAACATGGGGGAAAAGGCTTTCTCTAAACAAGCAGTGACTCTGTTACACTCCTCCCCCCCCCCTCACACACTGGTTACTCAATCCTACCAATCTTTCTATCACACCTCCAGTCTCCTGGTTTGTTCCGAAAGTTTCTGCATTTCACTGATAAGGATTTCTCCACCAAAACTACAAACAGCTGAAGAACAATTTTCAAGTACTTAAAAGTAACAAATGCCATAAACTAAAAAAATACTGAAAACTGCTTGCTCACCCAATCCTTGCTACTACAGAAATGCAGAACTAAGGGAAAATATTTTTGTATGCCTTTCTGCCTACACAGTGTTTCCAATAACACTGGCAACACAACCAATAAGGCCTTTACTCTCATAGTCAACAGGTATTAAAGCATGCATTCCAATTTTATAATGCTTGCTCAAATGCAAAACCACACGAATAAACTGAGTAATAAAATCCCCTACAGTCAGAATGCATGCAAATAGAATGCCAATCCACTGAAATGCGTGAGATCACAAATTTCAGATACTGAATCTAAGTGACACCTTAGGGAAGTTCAAATACTGATCCTGTTTCACTATAAATACTGCAGATAGAGACTAAAACTTCAATAAATACATTGTGTGCAATACGAAATAAGTAAAATACTTTTCCTTAATAACTTAATAACCATGCACACAAGGGCATGGCTGGCAGCAGGGGGTTAGACAGACAACATATGGATGACCTGACTATGCCTCTGCAGGAACTTACGTGCTAACTTGTTTGAAAAAGTGAGGAGGGAGCGTGAGCAGAAACTCACTTTTTCCTATCTGCTGCAGCTGAGGTTTTAATCATTTTTAGCAATAAAGACAGTGCACGGAAATGGAAGCAATACAGTAGAAAGAGTGGCAATTTACATGAAAGATATATTTTCAAGATGAAAACAATAATTTGTATTATTTTTCATCAAGCTCAAAATAACAGGGAAGATAAACAGCAATGTCTTCTCTCATTTCCCATTTACATTTTGCCACGCACGCTTCAGATTCAATTGTGCTTCATTACAGACAAATTAAAACTCCGAATATGACATACCTTCCTCCTGTTTCTTAATTTTTTCACTGATCTCTGAATTTTCCTTTGTTATTAAATCAACATCTTTGGTTAATGTGTTATTAGTTTCTTCCAGCTAAAATGAAAACAAACACATTTTAAAACAAAGAACTTGCCATATATTCCAAAAATATTTATAATACTATTATTTTAAATACCCTTAAATCTCTAACAGCAATTTACTTGGAACACCTTCCTCAGATTATATACAAAAAAAATCTGCTTACCTTTTAAAGCTGATTTTTTTTTAAATGGCACTTTTCTTCTAAACTGTCTTGATTTACCAGAAGGGTCAAAATACACCTGTCCCAGAGAACTGAGAAAACAGTTAATATATAATTAAAAACTCAGCTTAAGCAAAATGAGATTGTCAGTTACTGAATGTGGCAATTTTCTGTTAATTTGCGGTACTTCGGAAGAAGTAGTACCTAGAGGCCTGCTGCCCTGAACCCAGACAGAAAAGCAGCTGATAGATGATACAACTCCAGCATTCAAGGCTAGAGTAGATTCATGGCATCTGCTAAATAAATGACTGTCATATATCATGAAAAACAGGTATAAATCAGTATAAAAATAAAACTAAATTTGGTCTAAGTCAAAGCACACATAGGTAGGTATGTACATAGGTTTGGAGGAAAAAAAAAAAAAAAGAAAGGAAAACCACTGCACTTTGAGTATGTTAGCTGTCAGAAGACACAGTCAGGGTCACTTTGCTAACCACTTAACAAATACACATTAAAACCCTGACACAACTGCAATCCTGAAAAAAGGTTTTGTTTGAAGCCTATAGAAATGATCGTGTATAGAGCTGTCTGACAAAACTATCAGAATATCTGAGACTAACAAACATATTGGCAAGAAGGTACTGCTTCAATGCCACAGAGTGTCTTCTGGAAGTGTCTTAAGAAACAGGAGGCTTTGAGCAATTGATCCAAGTTCAGTTATGCCTAGAATTTTACTGAACTTTTACACCCCTAGGATTCTTCAGAAAATCTGCATAACTGATGCTAAATGGGAAAAAACCAATAATGATAAAATAACTATGCTATATATGGCTTGCTATTTGAAACTCCTCATTTAAGACATTTATCATCCATCATCAAGAGCTATGCTATAAAGTATCTTCAAAAATTACAGTTTGTGGTCTGGGGTTTGTTTCTTTGGGTTTTTGAATAGTTTACCAGTGTGAAGAAACTCAAGACTTCCAAGATTTTTTTAAAGACTAAGTAATTTTGCAGTAAGTGTGTAATTCATTGCTCCACAAATTTACAAGATTTTAAAAATACCTTAGGCAATGACAATAATTACAAAAGGCTTCATAACAGAATTATAGACATTTGTTGGATTTTCAGTCTGGCTTCACCTCAGATTCATCCAGTCTACATTTCTTCAGGAATTCATATGATGGGGTTTAAATGTTTACGGCTCTAAATGAGTCCAAAACTCAGATACTTCAATAATTATCACTTATGACCACAACAAGACATTATAAAGTAAACTAAAAAGATAAATTTCTGTTTCCAACTGGAGGACATAGATAGGTATTGATAACAGTGGAATAATTACCCTTCTTATGATGCTGTCCTTATCAGCCATTTCTTGCCTGTGTCTTGATGCTGCTTTTTTGCTTTCCTGACTCAGTTCAAAATACTGTTCTTCAAGGAGTGCTCGTGCCAGCCGTTCTGACTCAGCTTTGGTTTCTGCTAAATCCAACTGGGTAGTGAGCGTTTCTCTGTAAAAAGGACATTAAGATTTTGTTCTCCTATGCAAAACATTCCACATTTTCAGAAAGACTAACAAATCCAAACCATAACATTCAGCTAATTGTCATTATCTTAGTTTCTTAAGAACAACAAGATTTACCAAACCACACTCTGTACACTTTTATCTTTTGATGGTCCACACAAGCTACAGCAGCAATCTTACTATAATTCAATTAAAATTTCAATCACCCATGAAGCACCAACCCTTAGGAAACCAGGTGTCAAATTCTCATGCCTTTGAGGAATAAAAAATAAATTGTACGTACAGTGTAGTCCATCAAAAGATACTCAACCTTATCAGCATTAGCTATGTTTTCACGCAAGACTACTGCTCATGAAGACGTGTGCTCCAGCTTGTTTGAATAATAAGGAAAATTGCATAATGTTTCTGAAAACATACAGTGGTTCTATGCCTATGCAACAGAGTTTGTCACAATTCCCATAGTTGCATACAGGTGAAAAATGTTTATGATGAACACAAGGTTGTGGAGAAGAGTGAGGCAACAGAGTAAAAGGAATCTATAAAAATGAGCAAGAAAAGAGAAAAAGAAAAGAAAAAACAAACAAGAGGACTAAAAGAAGTCTCTGCTTCCTTTCCCTCTCCCCTTTTTGCTTTTTAAGTTGGATATACTCCTGAATAACTTTGCATAGACAGGTATTTTTCTCCTACATCATATTTATTAGCCCACCGAAATGCATCATGAACACTGTACATAACATCCTCCCTTTACACTGTTTCACAATGCTGATGTTCAAGTAGAACACAGGACTTAGACCTCAGACTCTGTTTCATGCATAAGGCTACAGTCTCCTTCTTCAGAATAAATATATATGAAATAAATTAATGATTGGTAAAATAAGGTTAAAAAACTTCTTTCCTTATTTGCTAATTTAGAAAACAGTACATCACAATTAATGGTGGTTGGATTAACTGGTTTTGCTGTAATCAGAAGTATACTAAATTTAGAATTCAAAGTATTTTCATTTTCTTTTTCTCAAATTATTTTATTGGCTATAGAAATATACCAAGTAATTCTCAGGATAACATAATCAAATAAAAAAAAGTTGTTGCAGAAGCAAGATGATTACCACAAATTGTACTGTTTTTTTCAAACTTTTGCATCTTCCTAAATTCTCAGAAGCCGTCATTCTTCTTCCAGACATTACAGAGTCCAAAGTAAATACGATTAACCATATTTGGCTTTGTGAATCAGCACAGGTAATATCCTATGTATTTGCCATCTTACAAGGTGCTATGGAACACTTTTGAGACCTGTCTTTTTCTGAAGGAATTAAACATTTTAAATCTGATTCAAAATCTTCATGAGTGAGACCACAGTATATAGAAAAACTTATGTCTATTGAAGAAACACAACAGGCATACTTTTCATTTTGCAATTCCTGCATTTTTCTTTGAGTTTCTTTATTCTTTTCATCAATTTCCTCTTTCAGTTCCTTAACCTGAGTTTTGTAAAGTGTCTGTAAAAGAAAGCATAAAAAAGGAATCATTATTCAAATTCCACAGTGAAATTCTTCATTGTTTTGGTACTGGTTGGTTTGAATCTGTCAAACCCCAACACATGTCAGTACTGTCTTTAACGGAATTTCCTCCATCCTGCCTGTCCAAGATGCTCCTTTCCAGTTTCCCTTGTGTAAGAAACTGATGTGACCAGGTTAGTTTTCAATTTCCTACTTTTGCTAAATATTCAGACCAAATTACAAAAGCCTCATTTAAACTACATGCTACTGAAAAGAGAGATAACTGAGAATGAAACGCAATACTCTGGATCTTCTTATCAGCAGTATGTTAGAGAGAAATGCACAAAAGTCTGTAGCACTTAATGAAATTACAATAATATGCAGTTTAGTAAACACAAAAATTTTTATTGCCCCTCCAAGGAAGAACCGAATTTAAAAAGTACTTCCCAAAGCGAAATGAAACTGTCCATATTCATGAACGTATATGAAGTTCAGGCATTACAGAGCATCTCATGCTACTGTTTCCTTTCACACAAATGAAACAGATCAAACTAACTATAAGAAATACACATTTTGGCTACCTGAGGTACAGAATAAGGCTCTTCAGGGACTCAGGTGCAGAAAAAGTATCTTTTTAGAAGGATGAGGAATACACACAGAATGCTACTGGATCTATGGTTCTTAAATATACATACGGTAGATAAACAGCATGGAATATATTCCAGTAAGTATGGAGATTTTGAACTCTCTACAAAGTTTGCAATTATGTCAGACAAATACCTCTTTTCCAACCTCAAGATAGGAAGTACTCTGACAAAGAATTCAGATAAGAGTTACTCAATGAAATATATAAGATTTGACAAACAACTACAAAGCAACACATTAGATACACTATGTAATGTTCTCTAATTTTTTGTTCATTTTTTGTATTTCAAGCAGGATTTTGTGAATTGCTAATTTATGCCAGGTTGTTATTTACATTTTAAAAAATTTAACATTTCAAACTATTCACTGTTCAATGATTTCATATTAAAATGTAGCACTCACAATTCTTTGCAAGTCTTACCGAGAAATACTGCTCAGCTTCAAGCTGATCCTGAAGCTCACGCATTTGACCTTCATTTCCTCTGTACTGTCTTTGAAGGAATAAAGGAAAACATGTAAAAAGTCACCTACTAACACATGACAAAGACAAACTATTTCTAACCAGAACAGCGTCCTACATTTGCACACATATTACTTCACAAAGACCAACAGTTTGCTGTATCCTAAAACTCTGATTTAATTGCATTCTTTATTCTACCCCGATGATTGTTTCAGTATGTAATTTAGAAGACTAGAAGTACTCTAAACTGAGAAATGTTAAGTCAACTGAAGGAAGGTATGATAGAAGACTAATGAAAAATGGTCTTCAGTCAGCTTAAGAAATGCTAAGGAAAAAAATCGTGCAGTTAAAGGGAGGAAAAAGCTTTTGATTCCCATGTAGTAAAACTAAAAGTCCCATGTAATTTAATAAGTAGTATCACAATCAAGCCATAAAGAAGTCACTCAAACAAAAGTGGCACATAGAAATATATGCCTTGACATAGAATGATGAGCCAAGAATTGGTCTGCATCATAGCTCATAACAAAAATATTCCAACACTGAAGGCTACATAGAGAAATCATAACAGGCAGCTAAAAATATTCTTTTAGTTTAGGAAAAATGCCTACGCACCAAAGAACTTTTTCTCACTAACAGGGACAGGCAAAACAGTACATGTATAATTAAGCAACTTTTTCCATTTTACTTCAGATTTTTACTTACTTAGCAAGTTGAGCCAACTCAAATTCCAGTAATCTCTTTGCTTCCAACAATGTATTGATTTCCTGTTTCAGCTGCTTCTCGGAACCCTTCAAGTTATCGGCTTCAAAAGCTTGTGCCTTGAGTTCATTCTGTGCCATTATTCGCTTATTAGTCTCTTGTTCTAGATGAAGTGTTAGATTCTTTACCTAAATGAGAAATATTTCCCTTTAAAAGCATTTGCTGAATAACCAAATGTATGTGGTTGAAAGTGTTTCATATATGGATTATTTTACATCATTGCCTAGATACTACAAATTGTATTATACATAAAAATATTCCTAAATCACCAACATTTCAGTGCAGTAATCTTACAGAAAGCTGCTGCCCTTACAGAACGTACTGATATGATGCTGCTTGATGATAAACCTTCCCCATACTTAGCTCATTTCAAAGTCCCAAATATGTTTTATCTTATCTTAACGGCAACAATGGAAGAAACTCAAATTGTCTGCTGAAAGGTCCTGCAAACTTCTGTGGATTTCAGATCTTAAAAACTTCTCACCCTAGAAAAAACTGCAGCCTAGCAGCTATATAAAAACTAATGTACACAAGTCGTGACCTCTAAGAAGGGTGTTATAACCTTCATTCCCAATGTCTTGTAAAGAAAAAGTAAGGATGAAACCATTATTCCCAGCACCTAGTTTTCACACTCAATATTCTAATTGCATCTCCTTGAACAAATGCTTTTCTGGAGAACGCAAACTCAGAACCACAAACCAATCAGACTACACAGTCAAATTCACAAGCAAGATTTTCCTTTAAAAAAAGAAAAGGAAATACAAAAAAACTGCATTACATTAAATTAAGCACTCAAATATGTAAGGCATCCAAGAACTAAGAAACGAACAGAAATTACCTAACACTATTTAGGCCAACAACTGTCTTCAGTTCTACTGACAGGTGTATTATACAAGTACCTCGGTGTAAGTGAATTTCATTTTCTATTTCTCAGTGCAACTATAATTTCTTATTTATATTGAAAATTTTTAGTGACGAACATTTTACTTACTTCATCTTCCAGTCTTTCCTTTTGCTCAAGAAGGTGTTCCAGTTTCTGTTGAGATTGCTTCAGGTCAAAGTCCAGCATGGAACACTGTTTTTCAGCTTGAACTATTCGATTTTCTGCCTTTTCTCTTGCTGCCCTTTCTTCCTTTACTTTTTTTTCCATTTCTAAACAAGATTAAAGGAGGAAAACCAACAAAAATGTATATGTAGCACCTGCAAGAATGCTTCTGTAAACACAGTCTTAAACTTCCTAATATTTTTCAGACCCTTTTATTCAGCTATTTAAGCTCTTCTGCTGTTAGATGGACTGATTACTGAGAAAAAACTTCCTGACGCCATTACAAGAAACAGTAAAAAAAAAAAAAAGTAATTCCAATTTGCATTAAAAGCAATGAAATATTATCAAGACAACTGAAAGATAAATAGTGAAAGAAATAAAGAATTCAGATTCTTGAAGTAATCATTATGAAGTAAAAGCAGTTTCATTTCCATGAATGGACAGTAGAGCAAAAGAAAAGAAATGCTATCATTTGTGTCAGCTTTCTGAAAAGTTACAAACTACACATGCAGGTACTGATGACCTTTACCAAGAAAACCTGATCTATTCAGTTAAGATCTCAAGACACATCTTTGATTCATGGGTATGTATCCATAAAAGAAAGTTCACCACTTCAGACAAGCCTAATACAACACTAATATTTGTAATGCAGTTACACAGGAATGAATGCTCCAAGACATCTGTCTTGATAATACATTCTTTCAATTCCATTTAGCATTAGCCAGTACTTTAAGATTCAACAGCATTTTAAAAGCCAAGGAAGACTTCGACTTGCACGCACACTAAGATATTCAAAACATTAAGAAACAATGCAATTTTTATGGTGCAAATACCATTTCAAGAGAAAATAAGTGTAGTTTTCATTAGGTATGTTTTAAAATTTTGATATGCTTTTTCTATATACAAGGGATTAAACACTTGTATAAGAGCACTACATTGTAAGACAATGTGATTTAAGATATCATAATTAAAATTCCTTTTATTATGTATTTAGTTGAAACTTACAAGAAACACTTACCACACATTGCAACTGATCTTGCCTCTTCTATTGACTGATGTTTGTCAGTTAACCGAGCTTTAGTCACTTTGTGTTCATTTACTTCCTGTTCTAACCGGTCTTGTAATGATTTGAGTTTGTAGTTCAAATCTATCTCTAAGTTATTCTTTTCCTAAAGATAAGAAAAAAAAATTACCAGATCTCTATAATTATTCTATAATATATAAGGGAATCACATTTCCTTTCTTCCCTTTTTAGAGTTAACTTTTTGTTACAAAGAAATTATCAATTATTATTTTCCATGCTTAAGAAAGAATGGTAACAGACAAAAACTGTACTCAGTGCTCTGGAGAAAACTCCATTAATTTTTTTCAGTAGTCTATAAAATAATGGAAACTTCTCAGTTTGAATAATTAGTATGTTTCCAATTTAGGTGACTACAACTAAGCCACCAACAACACCAGAGCACAGAGGAATTTGAATTATTGTTACCCGGATGAAGTTTTGTTACTTCATTGCTGGGATTCCCAACCATTAACAGTAACTCATGAAACAAGCACTGGAGATAAGCTTTGAGAGACAGGCACTTGCCTTTGGATCACTGCTTCGCATAACACCAAATGAGAATGGTAACTGCTTGCACCCTCCCTCATAAGTAGTCATATCTCTCTGGTATATTTGGCTAGATCACACAGCAGAGCACGTCTTTACCTGACCTCAAAACATAGAGCTAACTATGCAGCCTATCTGGAAAAAGGACGTAGGATTTCCTTTTACTCTTCTTTACTTGTTTCTCCATCTTGAGGCGAAGATCAGAGATGTTAGCGGAACATGCTGCTACCATGGTTTAGGAAGGAAGGAAGGAAGGAAGGAAAAAAAATTTAAACGGTTCAGCTCCAAAGTTGATCAAAAGGGCTGGCAGTGATCCAGTCAAATTAAAATGCAGTAAAAGCAGAAATCTAAATTTCAGGTTTTTAAAAAGTTCAATTCATAGATTTTTCAGGAGGCAAGTCTCTGCAGCAATAGTTAGGCAGGCAGAGCAAAAATTACTTGCCACTGGCAGAAAGGTTGGATCTTTGAACCAGTGACAATGAATGACAAACATGAATTTTACGCCCAAAGCTACAACTAAGAACTCCCTGAGGACTTGTGAGACTTACCATCCTGATGAGACTGTAAATTCGCACTATTTAGTTAATCATATTAATACAGAACTGATTTAGAGCAAGACCACAGGACTTAGCAACATCAATAAATACTATTTGAAAACAGTCAAAAGCTGACAAAGAACATTAGCCTCAACATCTATTTACCATACCTTTTCTGAATGATTAAGCATATCCTGTGCTTGTTTTCTTTCCGCTTCGACTCTTTCAAGATTGTTTTTAACATTTTTTACTTCTTCTTGTAAAGTTGTAATCCGAACTGACGTAAGAAACAAAATATCATTCAGTATTGGTTAGTTATTCAGTATTAGTTATTAGCTTTTCCACCTTTATTGATTTCTGGGCCTCTAAAATATTTATACCTTCAAATTTTTCAGATATGCAAATGCCACACATTATAAAGGAAATTGATCTTTTCAGCCACTCCTTATGCATGCAATTAGTAAAAATTCACAAAAAACAATCACATGCAAAACTTGGCACCTGCCTGTCAACACTCCTAACAGCTAATATGTAAAATTTCTTCCATTAATCCAAGTGCTTCAGCGCTATGCAGCAAGCACCTTTTGCAATGTTAACTCCACTAATTTGTAGGTAAGGCACATTACACAGTAAGTCAGTCTCCAATGGATCTACAGGTACTAATAAAATAGGTATTCCCCTAACTGTGACTTCAGTGCTCTGCCGTAGATAGAGGAAGTACTCCCTGTCCCCCACAGCATCTGCCACAAGACCCTGTGTGGCCTGGTGCAGAATCACAGAATGGTTTGGGTCAGAAGGGACCTTTCAAGGTCATCTAGTCCAAACCCCTGCCATGGGCAGTGACATCTTTCACTACACCAGGCTGCTCAAAGCCCCATCCAACCTGACTTTTAACACTTCCAGGGATGGGGCAACTACAGTTTCTCTGGGAAACCTCTTCAAGCGTAAAAGATTTCATCCTTATATCTAATGTAAATCTATTCTCTTTCAGTCTAAAACCATTGCCCTTTGTCCTGTCATGACATGCCCTGATAAAAAGTCTCTCTCCATCTTTCTTATAAGCTCCCTTTAAGTATTGAAAAGCTGCAATAAGGCCTCCCCCCCAAAGCTGTAGTAGTAGCATGTACTCTGTGTGTGTATACATACGTGTATGCCAAAGTAGCAGTGTATATATATAAGATGAAGTAGTAGTATATATTTCTAGACTGAAGAATTTGCCTTAGCTGCTTTAAAATAAATAGATTAAAAAAATCTTTTAGATTACTCCATATTACACTTAATACCTTAAATACAGTATACAAAAATATACCTATCAGTTCAAATACATCTGTCTACAGTGCAGTCCACTTTACTTAAAGTACAGAGACATCCTGGCAATATGTAAGAAACTATGAGATGGATGAAGAGAAAGTCTTCCTAAATCTTGTAATTTTCTCATTAATTTTAAATGTGCTTTTAAAAACAGCTGTATGAGTATTTGAATTACACAAAAGTATTTGGGTATATACCGGCAAAGCATCTAAACCCTACCCTTTTCAGAAAAAGATGCTGTTCCTGCAGGCTGCCAAGTTGGATGTGGTCAAAAACACATTTTGAAGTGCACAGAATAGTCTTCTCCTGCCATTTTTACCCCCTGCTTGCAATTAACAACAGACTGGATCAAACTACACTCAGTCTTTTCAGAAGAACTTTACAATCATTCAGCTGAAATTGATTTACTATATTTGAAGCACAGTAAAGGGGCAACTCAATTCTTGATAGTTAGTTCTTTGTGCTAGTATAGTTTACCTCCAAAAAACCAAATCTAAACCAGCTCAAAAGTCCTCAACAAAAGATTGTGCCTCCAGGAAAATGATTTTCAATACTGCAGGGGAATGGTTTAAAATGACAAGTTAAGAGGCAGGATCCATTAGCATAGGCACAGTCATGAACTAACGTATCTGAATAGTTTCTAGTATAAAGAATCAGAAGTACAAATGGTAAAAAGTTCCAAGCATCCTGAAAAACGTATTCCACACCTGCATCCCTCACTGTGCTCTTCACTTTGCTTATAAAGTAATGTAGAAGCATCATAAAAGAAAAGAAATGCAATTTAACAACGAAATAGCTTTCTCCACAAATGAAAGAAGATAAAGCACAGAGTACGTCAACTTGCCTACTGCACCAAGGTAGTAAAAGTGTTGTGTCTTCTCTAGTGCTGTATCAGCTCTTCCTATTTTTGTACCACTGGGCTCAGACTTCTAGTCAGGGCAGCCCCTCAGACTTACAGTCAGTGATATCCCACTCTTTGATTCTGATACTCTCCCTCCCAAGAGGCACTCAGACAGGATCAGGAAGCAAGATCCAATCTTCAGAAATCGCTCTATTAAGTCACACTCAGTTTGCAGGCTGGCTTTCCTCCCTTTATGTAACTGTACTCTATTTAATGAAGTAGGCTTGTTGCAACTTTTTTGGTAAAGTATAAATACAGAAGAATTACCCTGTAGTTCTCCGATCATTTCAGATCCATGGCTTCTGTCCCTTCGTTCCGACTCCAAAGCTGCTTGCAGTTGGTAATAATCCTTCTCCACCTGCAGTTTGGTGCTTTCTAGAACTCTGCACCTTTCCTGCAGTTCTCTATTCAGTGATTCTACCTGACTTAATGACTTGCTCATTTCTGTGTTACCCTTTCTCAGTCTTGCTGCTGTATCTGATTCTGTCCTCAGCAAATCATTTGCTTCTTCTAGCTGTTAAAATAAAACAGACAAGATTCTCAAATATAAAAATAAATGGGAGCAGTTTTGTTATATCTGAACGCTCAATACTGCTTCTCAAATTTAAGAACTAACAAAGACAATGAACAGAAGCAACATACTTGTTTTTGTAACTGTGTTATCTTCTCATTTGTCATTTGTGAATGCTGGCTGATTTTTTTCAAGTCTTCCAGCTGATCTTTTAGTGTGGACACTAAAGAGAAATTACACCATTAATACATCAGATTAAAAACATCCTTAGGGTTGTTTTTTTTTTTAACATAAATACTCTCAAATAAATTCTTGGCATATAATAGGTCTTTTGTGGACTTTTTGCTTCTTATTTATATTTTTAGGTCAAATTCTGTGCTTCCAGAACAACAACGCACACTGTAGAGAACAAAATTTGACAAAACTATTGCGTTCTTGTTAAAAGTCAAATAAAAACAAACTCAGAAGTTGTGTTCATTATTTTAAAAGATCCCTTTAAAGTTGCATAGCACTTAAGATGCTAAGGTAGTAAACTATTCCCCAAAATACACCATATACCTCACCAGTGTCAACATTTGGATGACATGGCATACCTTCATTTTCCACATTCCGTCTTTTTTCATTCTCTTGTTCAATTTTCCTTTGGTAGTCATTTATCTTATGTTGCAATACCATCTTTTCCTTCTCAATCTGAGACACTGTTGATTCCAAGTTCTTTCTCTGATTTCCCTAAAATTAAAAGCATTGGTATTTTCTATTTACATTTTACGAAATGTTACCTAAACCAGTATCTCTGCAATTAATTAATCAAGGAAATTGATGCATCATTTCCAATGCATGAGTTTCTGGCTTCCCTGAAAAGCTTTTCAGAAAAGATGGCATTTTTAACTTCCATATAACAAATTTATGAAATTACTAGAAAAGTTATTGTTAAAGTGATTATATGTAGGTAACTATTAATAGAGACAACATAAAGACTCAATAGAAAATTACCTGTACATTAAATTTTAGAGTAACTAATTTTGATAAACTCCAGAGAAACTGTGATGCGCAAGACTAAGCAAAACACTTAGTAGAGGAAACAGAATTCAGTGTGAATTGCAGAAAGAAAAAAATTTTTAAAACGTGTACAAATAAAAATGTATCTCACAATGCTATGTATTGAAATGTGATGGTTTGGTCTCAAATTTAAACTCGGAAGAATTCTTTTAGTCCCTGAAGAAATATCTTAAATCATGAAAGTACTATCCACATTCATTAATGAATAATGCTTCAGTGAGAAAAAAAAAAATTACCTCTTCATCCAGTTCTTTCATTATCTTGTCTAGCTTTATGTTTGAAGATCTAAAAATAAAAAAAAATCATTTAATTAATATTTGAGAAGGATACATTATACATAGTGTTCTTCTAGTGAAATAACTGGGGACCGTTACTAAAGTGAACTTTTATATTTTGGCTAATGCTATTTTGTAATAAGCATTTGAAGAAAACAATCAATCACTGGAAAAAAATTCTAGAATATATTCTTAAGCATTTATCAAATTTGCTGTAGATTATATATGCAAAACTTTAGGTGCCACATTTTCTCCCTTAATCTGCAAATGTAAAAACAGGCTTTCATTAAAATAAGAATACTGCTAAAACTTGTGAACTTCCTCTAGTTGTGAACTGTCCAAATATCTAAAATGGTTCATTATTTTAACAATAGACAGCACCCTACTATGGAGAAAGACATTTCAACAATACTATTTAAGTCTCTGTGTTGAAGCAAGGTATTAGAACACAGCACTCCAGGGAGAGTGAGGTTAAGTGCATAATAAAATGTCAGTTGACTGGCAATAACATTGACACAGCTATTGCATTTTTGTAGCTACCTATCCCTCTTCAAAGAGGTAACAAAAAGGCCCCAGACAATGTTACCTGTCAGGTACAATAAGGAGCAGTTACAGCAATATATCCTATCTACTAACTCTGCAGTAAACAGTATGACGTTATCAGAAGACACGCTGTTGTGCTCTGACAACTTTTGTAGTACTGCAGGGAGACAGTTACTGAGCATCTTTCAAGCAATGTACGTCCTGTTTGTGGAAAGCAATCAGAATGTGTCTACAGTGAAGCTGTGTTTAAGCAAGTGACAGTGTCACACAGTCTAAATTCCTACCAGACCATTTTGGCTACCAGTTCCCACATAAGTAGCTTGTACAGCTACACACTATGCTCCTAAGTCACAAGCCTAAATTCTGCCTAGATCCTATACCTCGTGTTGCCTCTTGGCTTTATTTAGGTCTTCAGCAAAAGATTTCAAAAAGAGAAGCTAACTGAAGGGGAATTTAGTTTGCATGAATCTGAGCAAAAATTTCTGATTATCAGCAAAGAAGAATCCCAACTGTTTGTTCATAAGCGTAGCTGCAAGAAATAGGCAAATTCTCATGTAGCTACTTCTTCAACATGGCAGAAACAAGACTTGAGAAAGCAAACAGTTGTTCTTGTCTACCAGTCACAGGAAAGAAAAAAAAAAAAGGCATGTGTTTTTCCAACAAGTACCATGTATTTAGAAACCAGACAGCTAATTTTACTAATCCAATATATGTTGTACATACAGTATTTCACATTTTTAGAAAGTCAGCACGACATTGCGTACCTCAGTCCAATAAAATACCTGATTTCAGTGTATTGGGTAAACTCAAACATTCAAGTGTTCAGAAAGAGTATTTGTTACATGGGTTCCAATGAAAATAAAACATTCTCTTCATACTATATTCAAAAAAAACCTCCAAATATTGTTTTCGAATGACTCAAGACTGTGCCTGGAACACCCCTGGAGAACTACAGTACCTTTCTTAGTGTTACTCTGGTAATCCCTAAAGCGGTAATACAGAACTGAAGTGTTAGATATATTTAAATTATGCAAACAATTAAAGTTCAAAGTCTCACCTGCATTTTTGCTCCATTTCATCTTTCAGCTGCATTTCATTATGTAGTTGTTCTTCCAACTCATAGATCACCTTCTGCATATTTTCAAGCTTTTTATATATATTTGTACATGAAAGAACATGCATTAAATTAACAAACCTAAATATTTCAGAATATTCAGTGCTGCTTACGTTAAATATGTTATAATATTATGTATTATCTAAACACTAAATTTTTACCTTATTAAAATGTGATCCTCCCCCCCCAAAAAATGTAAAAAAATTAATTACAAGACACAACTTTAATATGACACAGTTTCATCATTTGAACACACATAAAATTTTAGGGTTCCGAATAGTTCCATCAGAATTCACAGGGCTAAGTCAAATCCTCCTTGCTTTAAGTATTATCAGAACGAGACTAAAGTTATTACTGCAAAGATATAAGAAAACATTTTGATTAGTCTCATATTTTTTTTTTCTAGCATGAACCACCACACGTATTTTGCAATGCATCTTCAAGCTCTCAACAAGCTCAAGAAGCAGAACCAGGCCTGTCGGTTATTAGCAATGGGGGGAATATGCTTTTAGCATCTATTAACCTACTATAGTTTAAAAACAGTAGCAAGCTTCAGATGTTAATACAAAACGTTACTGTATAGCATGTATGGTCTGCCAGCATGATAAAATCAGAAATTCATTCTTTTCATGTAGTCTCAAAATATCTACCTTCAGCTGGAACTCTGGGCACAATAATCCCACTCCAACATGAGCAAAATCCTCAATTAACAACAAGATGGTGTCAACTTCGAGGAAATTCATTAAGTCAACCCCAGGCTGATTCACTCTTTTATTCCTTCTGTCAGGATTTCAGCCTTATTTAGCTTTCCCACATTTCCCTCAACTCTCTTGGAACTGCATAGAGAAGAATTACAGTCCTAACCTAGGCTCTTTTCAAAACAACATGTTCAAGTGGTTCTGACCCTTTGCTTTCTTGTTCCTTGTTCTAACTTCAAAACCTGACAATTGCCTTACTCCTTTTGCACAATCATCCCAGAAAAAGGAGAAACAGAACAGTTCCTCCTACGTCCGCCTCTTCCTTTTTTCATTTTCCCACAAAATATGCTTAGAGAAACTAGAACTGCTCATTAAGATCATGAAGAGGAGACAAATTACGCTTATCTCCATTCTTTTTTGATAGCAACAGTAAGTGCTCTCAACAAGCACTGTGCTCTGTACAGTCCTAAATTAAGATTTCACTTTGGACACATTATAGCATGCTTTATCCATATTAAATGAGAAAGATTCAGGTGAGATTGTTTTTGCCTACTTTCAGGCTGGTGCTTTTCTTACTTCCTACTTTCAATCCATCCTCCCTCCCATTGTAGCAGGAAATAACGCATGAGGCACTCAGGTACTCTCAATAACTGGAGATCCTTTCTCATTTCCTCCTTCTATTTTTTCCCCACATTTCCAGCTACTCTGAAGTTTTCAGAGGAAGAACACAGACATGGCAACTGGGGACTAACCAGGAACTATATATTTTATATATTCACCACTCTATTCTATATATTTACCGCAACCTATCACAACGCCTTGAAAGAGCAAGGAAATTCAGGAAGAAATAGACTCCTCGGCACTTATAGAACAGCTCTGGAAAACCAATTACTGGTGTGACATAACCACACCACGTGGATGAGCCAATGGTGTAGTAAAAAACCAGAGAGATGGCCTCTAAACCTAAACTTTGAGGATAAAGGAACGAGGACCAGTACACAACACATTCATCTCTTTGGTATGAACCACTGAGAAATAAAGCAAGAAGCAAGACTATTTAAAGGCTAGCTCTCACTTTAGTAAAAAGGGACCACAGCTAATGCAAAAAAATAAAGGATAAAGAAGTTTCAACATAATTGCTCTTCCATTTCTTGGTTACTCATTTCGTAGCCCTTCCAGACAGGCTGCATAGAGGAACTAAATGGGATAGATGAGGAACAGGTCAAAAAAGATACTTGGCAACTAAGGCGTTTCTGTACTGACTCCTACTAATTCGGACCTCTATTGCTTGCTCTTGCTTCTTTCTGTCTCTGGATGCTTTTATAGTGCTGTACCCCAAGGGGCCCACCTAAGCTTGCTGAGCAGTCTAATTATATTAGTACGAGATAACAGGCTTCCAGAGAAGTTCTGCACAATTTGACTAAATAGCACCTTAAGAAAATCCTGAGTTACAATTAACTCAGTATAAAACCATTCCTTTATGTTTTAGTTTGTTCTCAGTTTCCATTTTGAGTAGGAGGTGGGGGAGGAAAGGACTATGGAAAGGCCTGCCTACAGCAGAGAAGCCAAGAAGCAGCCCTCTGGAACTGCCAGTTTGTTTTTTTTTTTTATCACCACAGCATAGTGCGTCTGGTTCTGCACCCTGAACAACGAAGAAAACCAAAGACCCAGTGCAAAACAATCTGTTCATCTCCTTTTTCTTAATATCTGAACTGTTTATAGGTGGTTATGGTAGCACTAAACCGAAATAAAAAAACAGATCTTCGAAGAGGTTTGAAATTCAGTTAAAGGACATCAAATTCCATTTTTGTCCAACTTCTGGCCTAATTCTGGGAAGTTTTACACAACTTGCAAAACGCAATGAATTTTTTTGGAAATTTCTGGCACTCAGCTCCTCCCAGAAGACACTCAGCACCGTGCCAAAATGCAGATAGACCAGGTAACATCTTATGTCATATTTCCAGAATTAATGTGCTAACCATGTGCCAACGTTACCGTTTTCATTGCAGCATGTAATGAAAGAAAAACAGCTGAGAAAGAACTGCGGGGTAAAAATACCTTGTAGTAAAGACTTAACGTTTATTTAAACTTCTCTTATAACTCATACCTTTTCAGAGCTTCATGTCCCAAAACTGTTAAAATAACAAGACATTCAAATACACCTGACAATATGGACAGGACTACTGAGGGTTCTTCAACTACATGCAGGCGCCTGTACCTCACTAAATATGCCAAGTCCATTCAGCAACTCTCTTCGAAGTCAACCAAAGGCCAGCACATAGCTTAAAGCATCTGCAAACATTTGAAAGTCCTGCTCTGTTTTTAATTTTACCATACTAACAGCCAAATGCTTATGAGGAAAACAAAATTTATGAAACACATCAACATACATAAAGAAATCAAGTCACTTGAATGTTTAATAAATTCAGTTAACCCAATAAAGTACGTAATCAGTTCCGCTGCCCTTTACAAATTTTCTCCAATCCAAGCAGGCCTTCTTTCCACCTCAGCGTACCTTCCTGGAAACCTGACTGCCAAGAAGCTTAGGAAGCAGTAGCTGAAAGAATTCCTAAATATTTCTTGCTAGGTGAACTGCTCTATAAATGCAGATCCTCAGTGCCCCAATCCCAATAGCTTGTGGGGCACCCTCGGGAAGGAGCAGAATACCCAAGCTTGGTACATTATCTGCCATCTCCCACTTAGTTCACGGGAAGCCCAGCTCCACAATTAAACTGGTGGGTTGCTGGAAAGCCCAAGCTTCCTGTCAGACTCACGTCCAGACTCCATGGCTGCCACAAAGCCAGTGTACGCCCGGAATTGATACGGCAGTCTAAAAATACTGCACAAACACTTTGATATATCTAAAGATCAAACCTGTGAATCCAGTTCCACAAAAAGAGTATGCAGGAAAACAAATGTTATACGAAGAACTGAAGTTCTGTTTTACCAATAACTCTAATAGGCAGGCCATACTAAACAGTTAAAATTTATGCATTGATTTCCCACACTCCAAGCACTAAAATAATTTGAGACATATAGCATTCAAAGAGTTTATTCCCATATACACAATAGATTCTTTACTAGGATCCAACAAAGCCGAATATCGGTGAGACATACCACACTTTTGTCCACACTGGAGCCTGTTCTGTTATCATTGGAATTTTCTGCCGAGACAGCTAAATACCTGCAACAACATTTAAAAACTTTTAAGAGTTGTTTAGAAGCAAGGTTACGAAAAAAACAGAATATAATCATCTTAAAATATAACCCCCAGATTTTTTTGCACCAAAATGTGGATAACCAAATAGTAACATAACCAGATTTTTTTCAGTTCTATATTTATTATTTTTTAAGATTTAAGCACATTTAATTGAAAAAAACGTAATTTATTGTAAAGGTTAAAGCAGAAAGCTGCAGTAGACGACCTTCAGAAAAAAAGGATTTCTGCCAAATACTAATACAACCACTTTTTTTTAATAACCATTAAAAAAAATCTTTGCTTTCCATGGTTACAACACCCTCATTGGCTTCCATCCCATAAATATTTACTCAGGCACTTTTGCAGCAAGTAGCAGTAGTGAAGCGAACTCTGCAGAGATTGTGTAACTTAACAAAGTTACTAAGAGTTTCACACACAAAAAGTTTGCCCTGAAGCCAGTATTCTTATTTTACGTAAGTGTTTTCTAAAAATACCACAATTTTCTATTTGTCATGATTCTGAGAAGTCAGGTAAATAAATACAAATTACTATCTTCAGATTCCTTTGGTATTTGATGTGATATTCTTGGCCTGATAACTGATCTAGAGAGATGTAAAGCATCTCTAACTGCATCAGACTACGTGAAGAAAAACTCTGCAACACATGAACAGAGAAAAATGGACACATCCTCAATTTTGTTTCACATGCATCTTTTCACATACACAAAAACCTCTCCAAAAGATCAAGGAGGGTAAAATCAAAGACATTTCCAAACCATGGTTAAATCAAAAATCAAGACTGCTTTCAGACAATCAAATGACAAAGAGGAAAGAGAAGTTTCCTACAGAAAGAGGCTTGCTGTCTTGAGTACATGAAGCCATCATATTTTGCACACCAGAGCTGTTGAGCAGTGAGAATGTGATATTTGAACAGACAGAGCACCAGCTCCATCAGAATGCAGAAGAGAACACACAAGCCAGATAGCGCTGCAAAGGGTTCTCAGCCAGTGTACTGATCTCAGCCAGTGTTCTGAAATCTGTGTTATAGCTGAAGTTCAATAATAAACAACCATATTTCCTAGTTTACAATCAATGAGATTACAGCTGTAGAAAGTATTCTATACTAAAAGATTGTACAACTTCCTTTAAAGACAGAAGTCACATCCTTTTCCTAGATTTCCATTTCTTTAAACTCTCCAGCATACACGAATAAGATTGAACTGGGGGGGGGAGATAAAAGTGCACCTTTTTTCTATATATACAATTTTTTAAATGTTTAAACTATTTTAAATACAAAACCGGAATAAAAATTAGGATTACACATTTAGCAAGTATGAATGGTCACTTCAGACTTTTCAAGACTATAAAACCAGCACAGTATTATGGGACAAAATTCAATTCTAGGACAGCAATTTAGTTCTAGCAAGCCTACAAAGTTATGACAGTATTTAGTAGCAGAGTTCTTCAATGACAGCAAAAGATACCCACTCAGTTCTCTAAATTCCTGATACTGTCCCCCAAGAAGGAAGAGGGAGAGAGAAGAAATTCTGTTATTAACAAGCTTCTGTATGCTACTTAACCTTGATAATATATTCCAAAATCTTCCTGCAAGGCAAAAATTAAGACTTTTTTTAAACCATAGACTAAAATCAGAACAGTAGGTGAAAATCCTGAAGTGCTGAACTCACACAAACTGTACCCAAAGCTTGCAAGTCCTCCTATGCCTTACTATGCAGAAAGCAACAACAAATCCAACTCTTTGCAGAGATGGAAAGAATTTTACCACAGGCTTGGAAAAGTGGTTCCTCTTCTACGCAAGGAGGAAAACCAGATTTATTTCCTTTAAGGCTTTCCTATCCAGAAATGCTATTAAAACTAATAGTTTCTACCTGACATAGTCTACTAGAAGTTTTAGCCCATTTTAAGCCTAACATCCACCACAACTAAAAGCAGCTTTAAAAGTAAGAGAAAGTTAACGACATCTTTTTGAATCACAGTGCTTTGGGTTGTAATAGACCTTTAGAGGTCCATCTAGCCCAACCTCCCGTGCAGTGAGCAGGGACATATTTAATCAGATCAGGTTGCTCAGAGCGCAGTCCAACCTGACCTTGAATGTTACCAGGGATGGGGCCTCCACTACCTCTCTGGGCAACCTGTGCCAGTGTTTCACCACCCTCATTGTAAAAAAATTTCTTCCTTATATCCAGTCTAAATCTACCCTCCTTTAAAACCATTACTCCTTGTCCTGTCACAGCAGGCCTTGCTAAAAAGATTTTGCCCACCTTTCCTATGGGCCCCTATCTACATTCCCCTATAGGAATGCAGATAGCTATCCATAGTGCCTACAATAATGACGGCTGTTGAAAGCATGAATTAATATAATTTTAACTGACATAATTTAAAGTCTTCTAAGTAACAGTGAAAACAGTATCACAATCTCACTCTGCAGTGGACAAGCACTTTATAAAAAAAAAAGTAAAATTATGAAGCAGATAACACGCAAGTAGAAAATATTTTATTTCTATTAAGCCAAGGTTTAATTTATCACATGCTAAAACACTGATGTAACGTACGGAATCTTCACATACAGCTCAGGAACATTAACTCGCAGTAAAACAAAGTGACATTTGTATCCCTGATTCATGACTCTACATATATAATTCAGTGCTCTGCAGGCAGCTCTGCCTAGGAGCGACAACGGTGGTTTTTTCTTGCTTAGCTTCTGCAGCACCACTATATAATCTTCTTCATGCAAAATAAGACATTCACAAATTCAGTGTGATATTTTAAGGTACTGATGACTAACATTACTGGTTATCATCATCGAAGCGTCAAAAGAATCTAATTTATTAGGATTCTGAATCATTAATAAGAATCTGAATAGGCTTGTATCTAAATACTGATTAGTAAGAGTCAGAAACAATGCTGACAAAAGAATACACCATTAGCTTGCTTTCTGCATACATACCGACGGTTGCTGTAGTACGTAAATCCCACAAAAGGAAGCTGGTTGCCTACAAATGCTTTTGGTATGGGAAATGTTTCTTCCTCTCCTTTGTCTTCTTCCAGATCATCAAAATTACTAGTGTCAATGTCACTACTTAAGTCAGGCACAACTGGTGCTACAGCTAGAAAAAAAGCAGAAGAGTATGATAATAATCGTCATATTACTCAAGTGACTAAGAAATCTCTTTCCTTGGTACAGAGTAAATAAAACTTTGACTTCCATTAAAAGAAATACAACAGTCCTTTTGCTAATATAATACATAAGTAAGCCAGATCACTGTCCATGAGAAAAGCATTATACTTACTGTCTCTGAGAGTTTCCCAAGCCCATTGATCATTTTTAAAGAAAAGATGTCGTTTAATTTCTTCTACGCCATTTCGTCCTAGCCTCACTTCCCTGTTAAAGATTGTTTTGGTTAAATGTGGGAGATTACATAGATTATTCTGAAGGAAAGACTCTTTTTAAGGCATAATCTAACAACAAAGACAAAAAATTACCTTTCAAACTAAGGTAAGAAGTAGACATGTCTCAAACTTTTCATGTGAAGATATCTATAGGAGCACAGCAGCTACATTTCAGAACACAGTCTGGTTTTAAGTCTTGTCTGTAAGAAGCCCTGCTGCTACTGTTCACACCATCGTGGACTGGCAAGGCAGCTCCCAAGCAGCAGCCAGGTTCCACTTTTTCCAGGAGTTCATGCTGTTGTTCGAATTGCATGCAGCCCAGCAAATGCAACAGCTGCCCTCCTTTGCATCACCAGTTCTCACGCAAAAGTTATGCTTATATTAATTAAGCAGCACAGGTACAACAGGAATGTACTGACAAAGTGAAACAGACCTAACACTGATGTTTCAGACAGGCTTCCTGCAGGCTGGTTCTACACTGATCCTGAATGCCCACTAAGAGCTGGGAGTGTATTTGGGACACTCCTGAAATGCATCTTTTGATTTAGTTTCATCCAGAAGGAATCCATCTTGTGTGCCCCTCACCAATGTGCAACACAGACCAATGTAACAGTAGCTGTTACTAAAGAGTAACACTTCACATTCAAACTAAATTTATAAGGTAGACATACCCATAGTAGCAGCACTTCTCTTTCCCCAGTATACATGCTACTACCACAAAGAGCAGCAGCAACCATTGGTGACTCCTCTCCCAAATACTGGGGCTAGAGAATACGAAACTGATGCTACTGCCTGTCTAGCCTGCAGTAACATCAGTCAGTAACTACTGCTTCAGGTTAGACAAAATACTAATTCAGAGTAGACAAAGTAACTTAAAGACTTAGACTGAGGTTCCAAAAAACTCTTGACTAGCACGTTAAAACGGCCTTCTGTACTTTAAGCAAGAGGTTAACAGTTTCTTACACTGCTGTAATTCAGAGAAGAATAAAGCCTAATTCCTATGAAATGCATTCAGAGATCAGAAAAACACCTAACTACGCCGGCATCTAAATGGCAACAGAGTTACACTGCATTCACACCAAAACGGTAAGACTTTCACTTCTCTTGAGCAGTTCAGAAACCCACACAAAACAAATATATATAGGCTCTTTCAAAACGAGAGGAAATTCTCTTAACGAAGGCTTACTTTCACTTTGAGTAAAGTTTAAATCTTACCTATCCGTTAAAAAGGCACAAATAAGGTTTTTAGCCTCTTTAGAAATCTCATTATCATCAGGGAAAGTAAGGGAGTTCTTATGATTCATAATCTTACTGTATGTTCCAACCAAAGAATCTGCATAAAAAGGTGTATCACCTGAAAAAGCAGCAATGCAAAAATTAAAAAGCAGATCATGAGTATTGTAGATTTCACTTACAATATTTGAATTACTTATGCAATAATGTAAGCAATTAAGTGAACAAGAGGCAAGGAAAAATGTTTGAGAACTGTGCCAGAATATTTCTAAAACATATTCTGTAAATACCAGGATCAGTAAATCACCGCCTATGTCAGAAGATTAATAAACAGTTAAAAACAACAGTGATTTTAACATGGAGGCTAGTTAAATAGTCATTTCTGATTATCCTACTACTCACCTACAAGCATCTCATACAAAAAGACTCCGACTGACCACCAGTCGCATTCTCGCCCATAGTAACCATCACCACCCTGGGACTTCAATACTTCAGGAGAGATATAGTCTGGTGTTCCCACAGCCGTATCACATCGTACCATACCTTCCTACAAAGAGAAGGAAAACAGCCAGGCCCAAATATAAGATCCAAAACTCCAAGCCATTTCCAAGAGTTTATGCAGCCTAAGCAACGTCAACAGATCAACCTCAACTTCCGTCAACAAACATTCTTTTTGAATGGGTATTTTAACATTTTAAAATTTTAAACTACTAAGTCCAGAAGAAAGCGCCACACTTGTCAAACATAGTGAGAGTTACTTTAAAGACATCAGTTTATATCCAAGAAGTAAATCAGAATTGCATCTAGGCCCTGTAAACCCTGCACAGCCTCTCCTGGGCAAGCCAGTATAAATGTGTCATATAGTGACAGGGTGTGCTGTAAACAGGTAAAGCTCCTCTGTCAGTGTAAATGGGTCAACATCAGGGATTTTGCTGCCAGGATCAGCTAAAGTGCAAGTTTTTCGCCTCTGACCCAATATACTTAATGCCAGGAAGAGTAAATGTGGACAGGGGCTTGAAACTCTAAGTAGACAGACTTCCAAACAGGTAACAGGTGAGCAGAACGCTTGACGTTCCTCAGCCCCGAGAAAGGGCTATCGGAACACAGATCAGTCACACTGGAGCTGGCATCCAGAATGCTGAAGCTGCAACCACGTGTCCCTTTCTCATGCCATTCAGGCATTTCTGAAATAATCCTATGCCATTCCTAGAAATGAATCAGTAGAAAAACTTGCACAACAATCTATAACTAAGTAAATATAACAAATATAAATTCAATGTTGCGTATGCAGCAAATCCAGAATGCACCTAAATTAAGATCCTGTGCTGCCTAGTTTCTGTCCCACAGAGTCACCTTTCTCTTTCAGAAGACTAGAGGAACCCAAGACTAGGCTCAAGACTACTCAGCTAGCTTTGCTTTCTTTAGAACAGAACAGTTTCGTAATATTTTTTCTTTGCTTTTTTGGCACGTACAGCTTAAACACTAGGATAATGTTTTTCTACATTTCAAAATTCCTCATTGTTAAGAACAAAATCAGCCAAGGATAAATCTGTATTAAGTCAAAATAAGGCCAAATTTTGTGTCAGCTATTCCACTGAAGCAGACTGTTTGTGACTTGAGGCAACTCCTTGAATTTCTACACATAACCTGTACTTGGTTTTTATTGGTACCTTTCATTTACGGCAAAGCAGCTAAATACAGTGATTTACTCAAAGCTCCAGGAAGATGTTGAGAACACAATGTACATATTACACAGACTCTATTAAGTACCATGTATTTCAGATTGTTTTCCTCATGTACATGTGCAGACTGACACAAACCAATCAAAGTTTTGTGTAAGGAACAACAGTGCTTCACACTACGTGAAATATTGTTGCAAAATATTTTTTTTTTAGTCACCTCAGGATATATTTTTTAAAAATAAATAATTCTATGACATTCTTTAACCTGTTTCCTTCAGATTTGCCCTTCTGCTACATCAGCATATGGCTAATTAGTGCAACTGGGATTCAGCAACGTGTACATTAGTTTTGACTGTTTCATTACTGACACACTACATAAAAATAATCTCACTTCTTTAAATTAACTTTTGATAACCAAAGACTTTAAGAAATAACCCAGAGGATCTAGAGACAATCAAAGGCTTGACTTCAGAAAGTTTATCTAGCTAACGGTACAGAAGTTGATACAGTCCCTACTTCAAGAACTATTTCTGCATTGTACATTGTCATTGAATAGGATAAATAAAGAATTAGAATGGGAATAGAGTGGAACTTGCAACTCTCCTCATTTAGTCAAAAAGTTTTCAGTATATTTTCTTTTCACTTTTAAATACTTTTTCCTTTCACAAACAGAAAAGCAAAATTAAAAACATGTTTACCTTATTCATCTTCATACAAGTACCAAAATCTGCTAGTTTCAAATGACCAGCTTTATCTAGCAGCATATTATCAGGCTTCACATCTCTGAAAGGAGAAAAAACAATTTTTTTAAAGCAAATACATCTATTTAACTTATGAAAACAATAAAAGTCAACTGTTTTTCAAATGCAACATTGCAAGGAAAAACACCAACATGAAAGCACCACTATTTCCTCCATTTTTTTCTGCTTTCTCTAAGTATCATGTCCAACACAGACTGCTGAACTACAACATTTTAAAAAATTATAACAGATGTGAGAATACAGCCTTAAGTGTCAAATTTAATAATTCTGGACATTAATATTCAACCTCTAGTTCCTAAAAACCACTCACTGGTTGAAGTACCCCTCCACTAGGATCCAGCTACAGACAAAAAAAAGACATTCTGGTTCTGAGTTAGCCATCTCAGATCTTGAAAACATGGCGTCTTTCTCTGTACCACCTCTATCTTAAGGGAACAAATGGATGTCATTTTCAGAATTATATAATATGAACAAATATTTTTCCATGGCTCAAAAGGAGTATTGCCTTATGCCCCTGTCCACAAAGTACTTCCCATATAGAAAAGAAGTTTTCATAAAGTAACTGGTAAAGTTCAGTACATCTAATGTTATCAAATATACTCAGGCAGAATAGTAGTAGGAAACAGTTATCAAGCAACCATAACATGAATTTCAGGGGAAGGTGTATTTCTGAGACCTCAAAGCAGAACTCCGGCCATAGCTGTAAAATGCAGTGCAGTGGAAATGTATCAGTATACTCACAGAATAATTTTGGTTGGGAGGGATTTTTCTAAGAGCCCTAGTTAACTGTCTGATCACAGTACAGCAAACAAAGTCAAAGTTTTATCAAGTTCCTCAGTGTCAAATCCAGTCAAGTTCTGAATTTTTTTCAAAGATGGAGATTCCACAGCCTCTCTAGGACCCTCTTCCACTGTTTGACCGCCCTCATAGTGAAAAAAGATTTCCTAATAAATGCTAGCTATGCCCTTTCTGCAAGTTGTGTCATCCATTGCCTTTCATCTTTTCAGTGTGCAGCTTCAAGTCTGGCTCCATCTTTCCTATAAAGTCCTGCTGGGCAGCTGATGACTGATGCTTTCTGTCTCACCTGAACACTATTCATGTTGTGAATGAAAACATAGTGCTGACCCCAGCATCAACCCTCTGAGGAATCACTGGTAGCTGACTGTTGGCTGGACGTTGTACTACTGAGCACAACCCTTTGTTCTATCTATTCAAACCATATCTTTCCGAGCTGACTAAATCAAAAACCTTGCTACAGTCGAGACAAACAACACACACTGCTCTCCCTTCATCAGTGGAGCCCATCACCTCGTCACAGAAGGTAACTGGGCTGGGTAAAGCATACTTTACCCTTGGTAAATCCATGCAAGCTGTTCCCAATCACCTTCCCATCCATCTGCTTGGAAATAATTTCCTGAGAATTCACTCTGTAAGATTCCCAAAGACTGTCCTGAGGCTGATCAGCCTGCACTTCCCCTGATCCTCCTCTCCTTGCCCTTCTCGGGGCAAGATGGGTGTGCCATTTGCTTCTTTCCAGTCATCAGGAATCTCCCACTTGCCGCAGCCTTTCAAAGGTGACAGAGAGCAGTATCATAAGGATATTGGCCAGCTCCCTCACGGCCATTGGTACAGCCCACCTGGTGCATTGGACATGTGGATGTCCAGTTTGCATAACTGGGCTCAGCTTGCTCTCCCTCTGCCACAGTAATGCTCCACTCTCCCAAGCTCTGCCACGAGGCATAGGGACCTGAGAGGCCTGAAAGCAGACGTTATCAACGAAGGCTGAGGCCAAGGTGGCAGCCTCAGCCGTTTCCATGTCCTTTGTCACTAGGTCCCTGATCCATTAAGCAGTGGGCCCATATTTTCATCAGTTTCCTTTCACTCCTCATATTTGAACAGACTAACACCAGTGGAAAACAAATTCCAAAAATTTGCTAGTGTCAAAATAATTTAAATTTTCAGGAGAAAAACTCGCTGTGCTGCTGGTAACTTCTAATGCCTCCTTCCTAAAGCCTGCAATACACGTATTGCATTTATACATGTATAAATGGTTCGTTCAGCCAGATAATTTGTCCATTAGACATAGCATAGCTCTATAATTAACCATGCTCTAGATCCTCCTCAAGCAACAGATTAGTAGTTTGTTTTGCTTTGGTGTTTTTTTTTTTGCAAAAGTTTACATGTTAACACTGATCTTCTGGCCAAATTACAAATTGACAATTTATATAATATGTCTTCCTCAAACTCTTCCTGTATTTTCTGTTGAAAAATATATTCTTCTGCTCTAGTTAACACAATTAAAAGCTAACAACAGATAAAAGTTCAAATATCAAAAAGAAAACTTCTCAGCCTATCCGAGAAGTGACTACATTTCACTTTAGGGCAAGTATATAATATGAAACTAAGCCATGTCTCTTTGCTCTGCACCTCAATTTTCCATCTTGCCCCTTAGAGAAAAACATGTGGCTTGGAGATTTCCCTCACACTGTTCACAGGTTCTTGTTTAATGGATCACTGAGCCTTCATATGCAGAGCAGAGAATTAATAATTCCTAACTGTGCATACTACTGCTATCTAATTCCCCAAACAGCTTTTTCTAAAAGAAAAGAACCATTTTGCAGCCAATGTGTTCATACCACTGTAGTTCTTGTGTCTCTTGGTGAAGTGGGACAATTTTATTACTCCCCAAACTGAGGAACACCAGCCTGCTGAAAACCTTTGCTTTGACTGTATCACCTCAGACTTGTAGTTTCGGTTTGCAAGAATCTTTGAAGTTGGAAGATAGAATAACTATGAAATAATAAGGAAGTAACACCATAAATTGTAAAACTGAAGACATTCTGGCAGCACCAGAATAAAACAACACTATATAACAACACTTCTTTCTTTTTCACCTGTGTATAAAACCCATTGAGTGAATTGCATCTAACGCAAGTACAACTTCAGCAGTATAAAATCTTGCCCATTTCTCTGGAACATCGTAGTTGCTCATTAAATTCACAAGGTCCCCACCAGGCATGTATTCCATCACCATGTAAAGGTAACGGTCATCTTGGAATGCGTAAAATAACTGTAAAAAGCAAATAAATGAAAAACAAGTCACTGAATGTTCCAGTTATCTTTAATCTTTTGCCTGCTTGAAATCAAAGGAATTTCTGCACAAACTGATTTACAGAGTAACAGAATTACTACAACTACTGCAGCAACTTTGCATCATCCAGCAGATCTCCCGAAAAGGCACTAATCTATAGAGTAAATTTCAGTCAGATCTTCCATCCCTTTTATATTACAATGGAAGGAGTAGTCCTTGTAGACTCCTTGTTACAAATTAAGATTAGTGAATTTGATGTAATAAATTTTCAGATCATTTGAAAGAACGCTCATTGCATAGGAGGACAAAATGCTTCCTTTATTCATTGGGATGCTAGCTGACAAATATGTAAACATGAAACTACTGTACTGCAAACATCTGCCTGACTGGATCTGTGTTCTGACTAAATACTTATTATTCTGTTGTAGATGTATTTGTTGTATAGAAAGTAAGCATAAATTTTAAGCAATTCAGTAAAAGTATCTCCCTTACAGTTATCAATGCTCTGTTCAACATGAGTAGTGCAAGTAGATTTAAGTTTCTTAACTCAAAACTTTTTGAAAATCATAAAAGTAGTACTCTGGACAACCACTCCAAGGCTGACAGTAATGTACCTACCTATCTGACCTGGGAAAATCTTGAATGATTTTGTTTAATTCTAACCTAACAAAAGAGTTTAAATGCTTAAGGGTAAGAACAGTTTAAATGAATAAGGTAACGTGCACACACAATGCATGATGATTGCTTCAGGCGCACTCCTTATAAGTTCAAAGACAGCAATGTCACCCCAAAAATTGTGAGTGATAACAGTGAAATGAGGAAAAAATAACCGGTGTGGGCGTAATCTGCAGTCATATATACACACATAAATTAGAACATACAGACACTGTGTCTTAAGTATATCTTTCTGGTATGCTGGATGCCTCAAAGAATTACTACAGAGCAGGTTCACTGATAAATATCTAGCAAAGAGTTTTAATAATAAACAGAATAGCTTATCTTGTAAATGTTCTGACAAAATACAGTTTTGAAGCAAGTGTGATATCTGTGCTATTTGTTGTGTACAGCATTCCTTATCTTAATAATGTATTTCCCTAACAGACCAATACAATCAAAAAGGGACTCTGAAAACCTAAAAATGAAAACATGTAATTCCAAGTCATGCAGTGTTCTAACAAAACTATTCTATCATGATAATATTTTAAAAAAAGTATCACTATACCTGAACAACCCAGGGACTATTAGCAAAAGCCATAATATCCCTTTCTTCCCAGAAGAATGCAGAATCTGATCTTTTGATCATCTCAAATTTGCTCAGAAGCTTCATAGCATACACTCTCCTTGAGGATTTATGCCTTACCTGTGAAGACAAATGCGACATACAGAACACATTAGCTTGCCACATTAACATATGAAGAACACTACTGAATGTATCACTTTTACTGCTTTGCTATTTAACAAGTTTTGTAAGACTCTCTACATTTTTATAAAGAATTATATACTGTAGGTCTACAGAATAATTACATTCCATGACAATATGCTCATTGCTCTTAAAATACTTGCTAGAGTTATTCAACATAGAAGCCCACAGGCATATCAGTCGCTTTGTATTGGCACCTGTTAAATACCATCAAGTTAAAACTATAAGCATTTTCCAGATTTTTTCATTAGCAGACATGTATACTTGCTGTCATATTTCCAGTTTCTCCCACCATTTCTCAATTCAATAAAGCAGGATGAACAAGCCTGGCTGCTAATCTATCACAAACAAACAACACGCAACATCTCTCATCTGTGAGAACTCTGCCCACAAAAACCTGATGTAGTCCCTGAGCTGGCAGAAACTCTTCTAGTCCTGGAGATTTATTCAAGTGTCCATGTATACAGTGGTAAAGGCTAATTTTCTTCACTATGAGGAATACATATTCCCTTTTATTTTAATACAGAAGTATGACTGCAACACAAAACAAGTACTTGTGTACTTTGAGAGTACTGAAATATTATTTGACATTCTCAAAAACATTTCCATGGGATAAAAAGAAATAAAATTTCACTGAGCTAAAGGCTTTAATATTATAAGACCACATCTTCTGAACACTATTCTGAAATAGACACATGAGCAAATACTACAAAATACATTCAAATGTACAAACAGAAACATAACTTACCAACTGAACCTCCCCAAATGCGCCTCTACCGATCACCTTCACCACTTCATAATCTTCAGCTTTCATGCGCAGATCTCTCATTTTATTTACCGTGTCTTTATCTACATAAAACAGAATTCACATTTCATATATAATCCATTTAATTTAACCCATTCATCTCATACCAATTTTTCAGTTATTAGAAGATGTGTTGCTTAAAAGAGGAGACTTCCTTTTGAACCTACCTTCCTATTGGAAACCTCTCTGCAGAATGCATGAACTCATTCTTGTTACCATAGTAACCAAAACGTGACATAAACTTAATGCACTGACTCTACTGTACAATCAAATTACTGGAGATCTTACTTTGGGAATGTCTTTAAAAATAGTTTCCTGCAAAAAAAAAAAAGCTATGCAAAAATTTCAAATCCAGCATGATCTTGATTGTAAGCTGATCAGTACTGAAAGATTATTTCTGGATAAATATGCACCACATCTGAGAAAATATCATGAAGTGCACATACGAGATGCTTGAATAAACTATTTTTAAAAAATAAGCTTTCACTTTTCTGCATTTTTATTATTCCTAATACTCAAAAAAGTAGATTTTAATTTAAAACATGCAGTGGGAATCATTGTGATTATTTATATAAACCTGTCATTCTATAAACTACAATAATTTACAAACTCCCAGTGGGCAGATAGTCTAATTCCAAATTTGGTCAAAGATTAAAACAGTCTATTTTAATCCATGTGGGTCAACACTGGCATGAGATGACATGGAAAAGCTTCATGCTTCAGTATTTCTAAAAGAAAGAAACATCTACTAAAACAGATATGGTTCTAATAAAATAAATTATGCAACGGTATTTATTTTCAAACATAATATTCTAGGCCTAAAAGTGAAGTTCAGAAAGAAGTAAGGACCGGGGAAGAGAAAGGAGGAGAAATGTCATATTTTAAGTTCGTATCTCCAAAAAATGATGAGGCAGACAGCAGAAAATTACCATTAGATTTCTGCCATTATCTAAAACAAAAGCAGCATATGTGCCACTAAAATTCAGTAAGATTTTTTTATCGCAACAGGAATAAACATAGCTTTGTTTGAAAAAACACTCTGTGGCATTACTGTCTAATGGAAAGCCATCCCTTTACAATGCAGCAGACCACTAGCTGAATTCAACAAATTATATTAAAATTGTAAACTCTGACAAATCATTTCACACAGAGATCAAAATACTTAGTAATTTTAAAAAAATAATGCATTGCCTTAATTGCCCTGGCAAAAACTGGCCTGTAGGGGGGATGAGTAAGGCTGCATGCAACTAAAATGCAGCAATTCTCATGAAAATATTTTTCTATTTATTGTTATCTTACTGCCTAGTAATCTCACAGCCAGAGGTCCACCACTTCTGAACGAAAAATCTTTACATTGGTGCAAAAGAAAGCTAGACACCGTATGAATGTTTTAAATCGTTTTCAATCACAAGCCTCGCCTATGGCCAAAACAGAATTAAGGAAAGTACATGTGAAGAGCAATCTAAGGTAAGGATTTTTAAATAATGTACACTGGGCTTGTGAGCAATTGCAAATTGCAATTTACTGCTTGAGAGACATCCTAACACTTGATTATCTTCAGACAATATGTTACAGTAACAACAGTGTTGGAAATTTGACCTCCATATTCTAAGATCCGTTAAACAAGTCTGCAAAATATTTAAATATGCAGTTCCGTATCTCCCACTAACAGTGGAACACCCGGCCAGTTTACACTGTACAAACAGGTGGGATAGCTCCCACGGCAAAAGATCCCATTCTCCAACTTGCCCTGAAGTTTGATTATAAGCTTAGATGCTGTGTCAAAATAAGCTGAGTCCCTGCTGCAAAGGGCTCTCAACCATCTCAAATATTGATTTCTTTATTCTTTTAATTCTACATGGTAGAAAAATACTAAGTTCTACATTTGCAACAATAACCCTTACAACCTCAGGTGGCAGAAGCAGATTTTGGAGGCTCCAGAAATATACAACATAAACCAGAGAAAAATAACATGGGATAAGGACTGGCTCACAGGGCAATCACTCTATAAAATAAGCGCAGAAAATTCCCATTTTATTTGCAATCTAGAAATTAAAGACAGCTAATGCTGCAAAAAGATATTTAAAAAAAAATAGAACTAAAATAAACATTAAAATGTTCCTATATGTCTCTATTTTTTTCTTTTAAATCAGAAATTCAAGACAAACTAGACTTCGCAGTTCCCTCTAAGGACACTACTCGCATATCCCACAGCTTGCTTTCAGATTTCAGCTAACACAGCAAGATTAGTGTTCTAAAAGCAGTCTGAAGTGAAATAATATGTCTGTTCTCCACATTACTTCAGGTCACATCTTACACAGTATATAATTTATACCTACAAGATACTCATTATCAGACTGTAATTCTGTTTTCTTTTCCTTCACTAAGCCCCAAATGCAAGAGTGAAGCTCTTTGAGACTCACTAATGATTTCACTTTTCATAAAATTTACATTCAAATTATCCGTTGCAATGAGTATTGCCTTTGCCCAATACAACTTCTCTTTTCTCCAAGAGTTTCACCACACCTTCTCTGTAAATAAATGCGTATACAAAATGTGCATGTAACACCATGTACAATATCAAATATACTTTGAACTGTGAAAAGTTAAACAGAACATTTGAACTTAGGCCTTTCAGCAACCAGATTACGTGCAAGTGAGCCATCTACTAGATCTAGTGCATTCATATATTCCCCACAAACGGGGAATGATATAAAGATATAAAGTAAAACCCATAAATTCACTGTCATTGCTTACAGTTGCACCAAGTAAACTATTTGAAAACACCTTGAAAACAGAAACAAGAACATAAATTTCAATAAAGCAACAACAAAAATTATTTTAGTCAAATTACTTTATATCTGCCACAAAAGCCATTTATTACAACATTTGAGATACTTAAGCCTGTAAAAATCTAATAATATTAATTTAATTTTAAGGCTTGCCCATTCACTCCACAGGCAGAAGCAAGTCTCGAATCAGCAAACGTCTCTGCCATGATTACCAGAATTTGTCAGTTCGGCAGCCTTTAGAAAAGAGTTAACTCTTAAATGCCTTTCTGTTTGTTTTTTAATTATGAAAATTACGGTACTATGACTTCTATAAAAAAATCAACTCAATTCAAAATGTTATTAGTAGAATGTGCAGGAAATCCAGTAGTGGAAAAATACAGAGTAAATACAGAGCAGAAATCTGCAGACGCATCAGCTGCATGCACAAGTAAATACAGCAGCTACGCAGTATAAGAATTTTATGTGGTAATGAAAAGAGACTTTTTATACTGAAAAAAGTCTACAAAACACATGCTCCAGTCTGTCAGTGAACAAATTTTTAGTATGATTTCTTGACACCGTACACATTATGTCATTTTACTGTTAATTGCTTATGATATATTAGTACATCACATTACAAAGCAAGTTCTGGTAATCCAGAGGGTTGCTAAGAACAAATATAACAGGTCTTTCTCTTAAAAGCCTTTGTGCCACTGACAACAATGACATTTACATTGGCAACCAACTTGGATGTTCACTTGCTAGGGATCAGATTTGTATAGATAGCTGTCAGTTCTCACTGAGAAATAAATAATCAGACTCTTAAAACAACTTGAACTCAAGAACTTAATGCACTCTAAACCCCTAGCTGCCTTTCAAAAAGCTAGAACCACTTTTAGGTTTTATTTTTTGCTGGTATTTATAGTCTTTTGCTATTTAGTAACTGAAACATTAAATACTTACACCTGTTTAAGAAGTTATCAATGTTTTTGTTTTTTCTTAAGGCAGGAAAATCCAAGTCATATACCAAAGCATCTAATCCATCCTGAAAAAAAAAAGAAAACCAAGCAAAATTAAGTGTTTGGAAAAATAATTACACGTGCTGCTAACTGAAGAGACAAGACAAAAAGTTGCCCCTATCAGTCTTCTATAAAAATGAAATAATTCACATTTATTTAATGATTCAGTTAGCAATTACATGAAACAGCTGTTACTCATCCACTTCCATTGGACTCTTCAAAACTTCATTTCCATCCATCCTCAAAAAAATATGTTTCTATGAATTATTATCTTAATTAGCTCCACATTTACATGCAAAATATTATCTTTTCCAAATATTAAAACAACAAATAGCAGTTCTAATGAAGTTCATTCATGTTAAAAAGTCACAACGCATCACACAGTAGGCACTTTAACATTAAGTAGCAATTGGCAAACAGGACAACCATGGTAATTTAATTCTGAGAGTCAACCCCCACTTTTTATTCATTCATTTCAGAGGGAATTGTCACGAACAAGATATTGACTTTATGCATTCTCACTGAAATCTAAGAATGAACAGCCACAAGCCCATCTGGCATTACTGCCACAGAATATATCCCTATGAACAAAACCAAACCAAATCAAACGCCACCAAAAAAACAACAGAAAAATACAACAACAACAAACAAGAAGATAGTTTTAAGGTCTTGTTAAGTGCCATAAACTTCCTGACTTTCAGTTTAAATTTTACAACAAGTATACACGCTTCTTCAGTGGATTGCATCTTCTCACAGAAAAACAATATTTTGGTTGAAAACCACAGATATAGTGGCTAACGAAAAATGATCAGGTATACTAGGGAATTATATCACAAAGACTCAAATAGTGTTAGGGAGTCTTCCTTCTCAACTATGTAATGCTTTAGTGACAACTGCAAAAATATAGTGTGGAAGGTCATAAAATACAAATAGAAGGATGTTAACAAAGCATGCTGGGGAAGTAGTGCTATTTACTTGTCCAGCTCCTGCCTACATGTCTATGCTATCTGTTATTGACCTGTTGGGAACAAGATATTAGACCAGACATATCTCTGACCTGATTAGTCTAATATGACTGTTTTCAGTTTCTATAAAATTACACAATACAGGATTGAAAGCTGATCCATCGATCTTTGACCGCTACATCCACCAAGTACCTATGCCTGAAGAAAAGCTAGAGTATAAACTTTTTGAAAGCTTACTTTCCAGAAACATGTACTAGTGAATACACTCGATCTAGGTTAAAAATTAGTCTTTGATCCCTCACTTCAAATTTAAACCTGTTTTTTCCCCTTCAATCTATAGATTTTAAGCCATAAAAAAAAAATCATATGCTATCAAAACTATTTATAGGCTCGCAGTCCTCATTTTTGAAGTATGTGAGATAGGAATTATTTATTTTGAATGAGAACAAACAGCACCATCATACTAGAATTTGAAAACAGGGTAAGGAAATAAAAACACAAGGATAATCAAAACTACTTTAAAGGCTAGATGTTATTAAATTTGTTGATTTCATCAAAACATTCCTGTTTTAAGTTACCTCTCCATACAGTAGCTTAGTTTGAACTCAGAAATGTTACAATGAAAATGATAATCAAGAAAAGCATCACAATATTTTCACAGCACTGAAGTCAGGCTTTGCATCTTGAGTGTATTAATGGATCATCTTTTGGGCCTTAAACTGATGATGGAAAAGGAAAGCAAATGGCAATGAAAAAACATTTAATGGGTCAGTAATATAAATAAAGAGAGTAAGAGGCAAACAACAACTTTGACTCAAGACAAATGCAGAAATGAAGCTATGGAGGATAATTGCAACTTATCAAGAAATACTTTACAACCTACTAAAAGACACCTTTTCCAAACAGACATAGTAAATATCCAGGAAATCCACTAAAGAATTTCAATTCTTTGGTAAATTCAACAGAGGAGCCATGATAACTGCTTGTACAGCAATACAAAGGGTACCAGTAGCTCTATGCATTGAGCCTCATGCTGTGAGCAGCAGTAGGCAAAGAACGTCTACGAGGCTGCTAGGTTACATCCAGGGTGTTTAAAAGGAGATGAGTGATGGTGATGAATTGCCAAGGTTTGGGGTCCACTCTGCCCTTAAGCCTTCAAATCCTTGAGTCAATCAATTTGTCCAGGGTCACAGCTAACATGGAAAACTTTGCCACGCATCAAGCAGAAGCATAACAAAATTCTCAAAATCCCCAGGTTTGCCTGGGGCAGTACAATTATCTGTTTCGTTTCACGATTTGTTTCAAAAAAAAAAAAGCCAAACCAGTCTTTCCCTTTAGAGGAGGGGAGATTTTAAACACTGAGTACAACAGCATAGGACAAATGGGAACATTCACACATTTTTAACATCAATCTTACTTTTGTATCATACATTTTCTTTTAAAATGTTAAAATATAAGCCTATGCCGAGAAAAGCAAGAAGTACAAAAAATGTCAGTTTCATTGGTTTGTCAGGCATGCTGGGTATTTTGTTCTGTTTCTTTTTAAAAGCTCTAAAGATGAAAAATAGTATATAAATTCACTTTTAACAGGCAAAATCAAATTTCAGTACTGTTTAATTCAAAAGTCACCAGGAAAACACTGCCTTTCAGAATTTAGATACGAACTTTTTCATGTAAAACACAGCTAAAAAAAACCTTTGAAATACAGATTCAAGCTATTGATCTTGTATTCATCTAAAATCTCAGCTTAAAATCACGCAAACAACACCTAAGGAAGCTGCATGGCAAGAGCTGCTTATTTAAAAGGCTCTTCAATACTCAGCTCCCCTTTGCTACAGTATCCAAAGAAGAAATTACCCTGGTTCAAAACTTCTATTAAAAAAAAAAAGGTAATAATTGAGAGACTCGCAAATCCTTAACTCTCAAAATCATTAATTTCTTCAACTGAAGTATGCTTCTGAAGTAGCATGGTATTATTTTAATGGTGGACTGCAAATACAAGACTAAGCTCAAGGTAATTTTAAAGGGAAACACAGAAGCATGGCTATTTTAAGTGGTGTCACTGGGGAACAAACAGGGAGGAGGAGCACACAAACTCAACAGCAAGAGGGCAATGTCAGTTCAAGGCACTGCAAGTCACAGAGATGGAAATATACGACAGAGTTTTAGCAATAATGGTTAGGAGAAAAAGGGTAAAGGCCAAATGAAAGGAGACATGATCATGGCTGCAGAGATGAGTTATCTCTCAGTTTTCTTGTTTCCATCTTGCTGAGTCTTTCAATTACCATCTGACCTTCTTCCTAATACAGAAAGGAACATCTTTCCTTCAAGACCTATAGCAGTCAAATCCTCCTCCTCTTAAAGAAAAAGGATACTAAGACATCACTGTAATAGGGAACCATACATCCAATAGTTTAATATGCTTTATTAAAATAAGGCAGCTACTCTTTCATGATGAATTTTTTCCCCACTTGAATGGGTTCCAGATATTTTTAGTATATATCATATTTAAATACAGCACATCTTGTACTTCTTAGAAACACGTATTGTAGCTTAAAGGTATTTTCAGCTAATGCTAAGTCCTGACTTACTCTGTCATTACAGAGCAATTTGCCTATTTAGCTTTGAGGTCTACGCAGACATTTTCCTTTTATGTTAATAGTTAAACAGGATTACTAAAACAGATTGGTTTATAAAAGCAAACATACGACTTCCACTTACATCTTACGTGGTAACAGTATTTCAGAGATGATTAAAAAACAGCAGAGGAAAAAAACTTCCTTTCTAATGTCCTTCACTCAAACAGTTTTACAGTCTGATACAGTGTTTTCTATATCACACTTGTTTAATGAAATCATCAATAGTTTCATAATCTATTTAAAATACCCCATTTTATCCTGAAATTAAAACAAGGCATACTAGGGAGCCATTATAATTTGCAGAGTTCTTCCATATGAAACCAACGTTTCCATGTATTCTGTTGGTTTGGTTTCCTTCATTAGTACACCACACTTAGAAGTGTCAAAAGAATAGATACATGAAGTGAAAGCAAAGGTCAGTCTGGATTCATATACTGCCTGGGGAGATGACAATCAGGGTGTCTAGGAAAGGGGATTTGAACAAGTCCAGCATATGGTAGTACTTCTCTCATCTATTTGCGAGCCAGAAATGGCACTTTCATACTTAATAGCTCCAGCCAGAATTTTCTTCAGTGATTTTGTCTAAACATTTTCTGTACCTGTTTTAATCTCTTGCATTCACAGCATAATATAGATATGAATTCCACCGCCTAGCAGGCTGTGTGAAAGCATACCTCATTGTGAGCTTGCCATTCTTCAGTCACAAAAGGAACAGCGACTCTTCACCCACCTGCCCCAAGACACAGCTTTACATACTTCCACCATTTCGGTCATCTCTCTTCCAATTATCCTTCTATGAAAGCTATTCCAATTCCCACCACCCCAGCGCTTTTTTATTTCTACAATATACTTTTTGAATCGGGGGAGGAGGGATGGGAAGGGGGGGGGAACTGCAAATAGTATTTAAGTTGTGAGCACACCATAAGTACACAATGCAGTATAATGTTTGCTGTTCTGTTCTTCACTAAATTTTAAGTTAATAACTGAAATACCTGGTTAATTTTTACAGTTACTGTGTACTAAATTGATTCTTTCACATAAACAGGTACTATAAATCAAAGCCAGTTCAACATTAAATAACACAAGTACATAAAGGTAAGAGATTTTTCTCCCACGCGCTCACTCAACATTCATCAATGCTGAATTTCACTTCCCACTTCTCATCACCCAGCCACCAATGAATATTCCTTTCTTCTGTGGTTTGCTATAGCTTTAATTTTTATTACTCTATCATCATTAATGAATCGTTATTCACCATTTTAGATCACTTATGACTGTGAAATAGCACAGACCTGTTAGACTCTATTACTGATCTCTTTGTTTTGAATAAACTGATCACCAACTCTCACTAACATCGTTCACCCATCCACAAAACAAGCCTAGCCCAAAGCAGCTTAGTTCTGATAAAATGCTTAA